ATATCACCGACTTGAATATTAGTCAAAATATTTTGATTTTCTCCTAATCCAACTAACTTTGTCTAAACAATTTTCATTCGTCTTGCGAGGTTCAAAAGCAGATGCAAAAAAGCGGTAGTCACTGATGTTCCAGAGGCGAGCACTTTGTCCAGAGGGAAAGAATCGCTGATGTTCTTGTTAAATGTCCGTTTTAACTGAAATGTTATCGTGATGAGTTACACTTGCACAAACATTTCCACTGCACGAAAAGCTTTATCACTTACACCACTTAAAGAACAGGTTCCTGATTATCATAATTCTGAGCTCAGAGACTGGGAGTTTGAACGCTTTTGGAACATTGGATGCTTGGATATTCTGCTGATTTCTTGGTCTAATTATAATATATATTCCGACAATACATTAATTCTCTGTGGCAAAAAGCAGAATTTCTTTCAATAAATTTCATTTATTTGTTTATTCATTTGCCGTTTTCCTGTTTAGTACACTTATTTTTGTGCATGGTTCAATGAGCACATGTTCACAAAATGCTTAAATGATCGAAGTCGTATACCGTAGGTTCTACTATATTACCCCGGGCACGTTCAAACATGATTAAATCTCATGGTTCAAACGAAATTTAACTTCTTCAAAAGCAATCTGTAGTACGCGAGTTTTTATTATGGGGGACTTTAATTAACCCCGAAAACATTAGACATGTTGTTGCATTGTCAGGTAATCAGAAAATTTCGCACGTTTCGGAGCTTTTTTATTCGCGTGCTCCAACCATAACGGATGAAGAGCATCGACGACCGATTTGAAATACCTGCGAAGTTTTAGATGAAAAAATCAACCAACACGTCTCATGCACAACAATATTCATCCGTTCTGGAGAGTACATTTTTGTCTCTTTAAATAAAATCAACTTACCCCTTTGTGAATATGGTAAATCCCGCTGCTGACTGCGTCGTTTGTTAAAAGGTTGCGTTCGTTTATTTGGCGTTACGTCTGCTGTAAGAGAAGCCGACAAGGGAAGCTCAAATCCCGTATCAAGGTACAGGGTAAACCCAAAATATTTTGCCCTTTGTCAAGCCGTCACGACCTACAATCGACACACTGACACGCGTCTGCATGTCACAGTGCAGTGTCATTTAATAGGGTTTTGTGTATTTCAAATTACATTTTCTGCTTGAACCTGTGACCCGAGAACTTGGGTTAATGTTAAGAGGGGATTGTACACGGTGTAACGAAAGTGAGTTCTCGCTTAAACAGCTTAAACTCTGGAAACCCCCACTGAAGATAAATTTTATCACACAGTTATCTATTCCTGTCCTGTTAGAATAATAGTTGTTTTTGATGCCACCTGCATGGACGCTTCATGCTGATTAAGCTGCTTCTCGTCTTGGGATGATATGACTGAATAGGAATTCAGTGGGACTACGAAAATCAGTTTACAAGACATTACAGACATCTAATAGGCCAGGGTCATAAAATTTGCATGTACATATTTGTTGAAATACTTTCGTGAGGGGATGGCTTATGCATATATATTTACCTTTTTGGTTCTGTTTATACACAGATAACATTTGGAACCACTCAGCAACATCTTGAAAAATGTTGCCTTAGTAGTCCTTCCCTAATTGGACGTTCCAGAATAAATCTCGGTGCGTCCCCAAACCGCTCCAAGTTATACTGTGTAAACCTTATTTAATATATGTGTGTGATGTAGCCCTCTGCCGCCTCGGTTATCTTGTACTAGATAAGACAACGTATCTTGGAAACGTTACCTCTTGAGTCATCAGCGCGTGATAGCAGGATGACAGGTGACAGACAGACCAAAGACAAATAGTTCAAAAGGCGCGACTCGTGACCACCAAAGCCCTTGGACCTGGCCTGTTTCACAAATTAATATTTACACCTAAATGCCAATCTTCTTTCATCTCTAATAGATTAATTGTAGTCAAATTAAATGGACCATTACGTCGGCAAAAATAAATAAATAAATTTAATAATAAATAACCACAATATTCAAATAACCATAACAAATAAACCATAATAAATAAATAACCATAATATTCAAATGGATTTCTATGGATTTATCTTGAAATGGAACATAATTGCAGTCTGGACGTTTGGACAAATTTCTGGACAAAAGTAATCAAAAAGGAGAATTATGTATTGAATGTAAGACCAAAAGTTTTGTTAAAGCAAAATACCCTTGGTTTACCCTTGGATTTCTCTTTAGAAATCTAATAAAAGGACAGTACCATGTTGTCAAAAATTAAATGCACCATTACACTGTTGTTTATAAAAAANTGTCAAAAATTAAATGCACCATTACACTGTTGTTTATAGAAAACATCATGTCCAACCCCTGAAAGACAAGAAAAAAGTGGACAATATCGCACACTTTGACAGATTTAACTGGAGAATTTGCATCTACTGCCAGCTGTCAAGCAAACACTTTTTCCCAGTCCAGACTGCTACCACTTGAATGCCAACCGATTAGACGCCAAAACACACCAATACTTTTCATAAGTTTTTTTTTTTTTTTTTCGAAACAGAATTTTCCTATCCATATAACGTTGAAGCCACTACAGGTAGAATTATTTACGTATACAACAGAGGGAACCTGTTCCAAATTCCTGACAAAAAGTGCATTATATTTACCATAACATTTGCCAATGTATGCAAGTCAAAATCAAGCCCCAATCACTCAGCACCCAATTCCGGTAAGGCATGCGTCTGTTGCGTAACTTTTGTGTAAGTTAGCGATCAAACCATAAACTTCTGCATGTTATTGCATGCTTTTTGATCACTTAGGTGCAAAAACTGTTCGTTAAGTGGGGGGAGTCTTATGTACTGGTACAAGTGCATTTCAAAATGTACCAGGAGTTCCTTAAGTCATGTCTTCCTATCAACAGAAAAGTAACACGCACGGGCACACACACACACACACACACACACACACACACACACACAGAGAGAGAGAGAGAGAGAGAGAGAGAGAGAGAGAGAGAAGCCCACTATAATAAAAATGCGCATACGCACACACTCACTCATATAGGCCCTACATACTGTATATGCACAGTGTATGCCATCCCCTGTATCGATAAAGAAATGCATTCCCTTATAAATATGTCTGATTTGTAGAAAATGCTTTCCTCGTTCGAACTGTTATGCTTTTTTATGCAGACCAGGGCTTATAAATCACAGACATGAAATTATGACAGGTCCATCAGTAATGGCAATGTTTATATTCACCAGAGAAGTTTATCTGGGGGGTCGTTTTCAGGTATAGAGCTACAGTACTTGATATTGGTTTAAAATTGAGCATACTGCTGAAAAATAACTTCATTTTTTTCAGAAGTCTAATGCCACAAAGACCCCACAAAGACCCCAGACGAAAAGACAAACGAGCTACCCTGGAGTGATAATAAAATGTGGTTGTTTTTGGGGAGGAATGTGAAGCTAAAGAACAATGCACCATGCAAAATATCAAAAATGCCACACATTCTTGAAAATAACATCACAGCAGTTAGCGGCCACCAGACTTTTAAACATAATAATGACCCCGTCATTTCAAGGGTCACAAGACTTTGAAAAAACACTAAATCCACCAAATTTTGAACGGTGTTATTAAGATATACTTTTTTTAAAATTCTTACTCAAGGAATGTATCGTTTTCAGTTCAACTTCCGAATGTAAGAGGACATAATAATCTCACCATAAGGATCCAAAATAATTCCACGCCTCACAAGCAATTCTGAGGCGTTTTAAAAACCGCTTATCGTTCGTTTATGTCATCAGTGACAACACCTATCTGAGCTGTCACTGATGAACAGTGTGACCGGGGTTGAAGGGGAATCTGATTGTTAATATGCAGTGCCTGGCCACGGGGCGGTTATCAATGGGAAATGACATCTCTGTTGATTACACTATCTCTGTGTTTAATATTCGGATATAGGGGAGGGTGCTCGTGCTCCCTCTTTAAGGTCGGTAGTACCCCCAGCCAATCCCCCTCACCCCCACTGCACCCGTTCAAAATTCATGCCATATTAATCTCAAATTTGCGTGCACATATAAAGAGTTTGGGGTTTTCCGCATTCGTTGGCATCTCTCTATCTCTCCCTGTTGGTAACCACTGTAATGTTGGACGTTTTCAAAACGATGACAGCCTAACAATAACACTGCCACTGTTGACACTGGACAACTCCCCGCTGTTGGCACGTTACTTATCTCATCTACCAGCGGTATTTATTAATGCATTACACCTTTAACGATCTAATAAAGTCGTGTATAAAAACGGATGAAATACTAGTGCAGTTTGTTAGCAGAAGGCTTAAGCCTACATGGCCCTGGAATTAGAAATACCGAAAGTACAATTGAGGTTGTTTGCCCTGTCAACGCAGAGAAGAGGGTCTTTAGTAACGCGATCGCCGGCGATACTTACAAGCTGTCAAAGCCAGATTAACATTTAATCCTTCGCTACTGAGCTAATACTTTTCATTCTTCCGTGCTATTCAAAAATCTGGGAAATTGCGATTGAGTGACCTGTATTGCCAATTAATTGCCAAAGTCAACACATGGGTGACGGCGACGTGAAAAGGAAGTATAATGAACCTGATCCTTACGTTCCCCGCACCCCGATGGAGGGGATAAAAATTAATCCGCTGCTACTGTGCAATATATTCAGGACGATCGTTCTTAATTCAGAGTCAAAGGGAAAGCAATATAAAGGGCATTGAAGTACATGGCAGGGTTCAACTTGTTTTTAATTGATATAATATTTCAGATCATGAGTCGATATTTTTAATGACAAAACACAGGTACTAAGACAACATTCAATGGCAATAAAACATTTTGTAACCACACAAACCTTTTTTGTGCACAAGAAGAATTTTTATTACTTGAGTCTATTCTTCTGGAATGAAAACCCCATCTTCCCTACATTGATTGTCATGGTATTGGTCACATTTTACCTCTTCAAACTGTATTTCATTGACACATTTTAAAATACCTAATCAAAATCTAATGCAATCATTTTATTTCTGTATCTCTGCAGACCATTTATGTTGAAGAAAATCAACATAGCACAATTCTCCTGATTACAATAAAATAAATTCTGTCACTTCATTGGTCTATTTATACCCAATTAAAAGCCATTATGACAGTGTTCCTTACCACTAGTTCCCTTCATTATCTTACTGGTCCATTATAAACCAGTAATAACAAATCACAAATTTGCACCAAATCTGCAATCACCTTGGTGCTATAATCTCATTGGTCAGTTAATAACCAATCAAATCAATAAGGACAGTCAACATCATTGGCCTCTACATAGACACTCTTCACTTGAGTGTAATGGTTCACAGACTCCAGGCTGTTCTCTGATCCTATTCCAGACATTTTGTGTCCTCCGAATGGCACTCCCACTGGGTACACGTTGTAGTTGTTCACATATATGGAACCCGCCTGGAGTTTAGATACCACTTTGTGAGCACGGGATAGGTCTCTGGGGAAGAAAAAATTAGAATTTTTTTGAGGATTTGTTCCAAAATAGAAAAATTCAGTAGAACGATATATACTGTACATGTATATAAAAGCACAATACTGGTAGGAAAAATGCCAAGTTTCTGTAAACTCATTACCACAAAAATATTATATAACCAAACTTCACAAAGCAATTTAATTTTTAAAGAGGTGATATCCATCATTGGCAATATTTTCCATGTTGAATTATGACTCCTGGTGTGCTTTGAAATTTGCTAGTGATAAAGTAATCATGAGGAAAGGGTACAATCGATTAAAATAAGTGTGCTAGGTGTCCTGGTGAAATATCATCTCACCCAACACACTCATTACAGTTGGTTTGATGAGGCTTACTTTGTGTTAAAATATATATATTTTTAAATTAATTTTATATAAACTTTTATCAAATTTAATCTTAAAACAACAGTGGAAACCATTTGAAGAAAGAACCACTTACTTTGTAAAAACACCCCCAGCCAATCCAAAGCAAGTATTATTTGCTCTGCGGATCACTTCCTCCTCTGTATCAAAGGGCAATACAGACATGACAGAGCCAAAGACTTCCTCCTTGACCACAGTCATGTCATCATGACATCCCACCAGTATACAAGGTCCGAGGTAATAACCACCTGCAAGCTTGGGATCATCTGGTATAACTCTCTCTCCACCATACAGGATTTCTGCTCCCTAGAAGTGTAATTGTATAATTGTGTTAGGTGAGACACACTGCAGCATTCCATATGAGACACTAAGCATTGTAATCAGGACACTATGTACTCTATGTGAGACACTGAAATCTGTGTGCCCCATTCAAAAGAGAAATATTCTCTGTGATAGGTCACCTCATTATATACTAGTACATGTACATGTAAATGCTTCTCAAAAATATCATACAACAGCTCTCTTTCCTTTTCCTTTCTTTGTATCAAGTGAAATCAGCTGATACAAGCAAATCCAGTCCAGGACCCTACATCAGTAAAGTAAATCAAATGTCATATCCATGTGATTGCTTTATAATAATAATAATAATTTATTGAGCACAAAGAAATGGTTTACATTTACAGGCTCTCCAACTAATACAAGTATTAAAAGAATAATTTAAGTAATAAACTATGCTCATCCACGCAGGGATACACGCTTTTTAATTGCACTGTTAACAAATTTACATATGGCAATCTCACTCTGCGCAGAGAGTGGATTGAGTAAAATAGATAGTTTATTGTCTGATGGACCCTGCAAATTCACCTCCGGTATGGAAGTGAACAGTACTTCCCGTTCGACTCTGTGTTCACTGCATTCTAGAAAAAAGTGTGCTTCATCTTCTACTGAGTCACAGTGGGGGCATTTCCTTTTGTCAATTGGCTTCTTTGGTTTTGTATATCGCCCTCTTTCAATTTCTAAGTCATGATCACTGATCCTCATTTTTGCTAATACCCTTTTTTGAGCTAAAGGAACATTGAGTTTTACATAAGGTTCAGCCTCACAAGTGTGTTTAATTTTTCCATATGCTCTGAGTTTGTTTTCTCCTCTTTGCAATTCTTCCCAAAAATTTGACTTTATTTTTTTTATTATTTCTTCCTTTAGATATTGGTGGTTGTGGATTTTAGTATGTATGTTGTTATTTGGGTGGTAAACTTCCCAGCATGCCAAAAGATTTGTAGTAGCCCAAAACCAGTTTTTTCCCTTTTCTGTTAGCTCCATGTCGTAAGCTTGTTTGACTAGTCTGTGAGTTGGAAGGTTGTCCAGTCTTGCGCTGTATCTGGACACCAAACTTAAATGTCCAAATACAGTGGAAGGCGTCCAAGTTCTGCCCTGCAAGCATTACTGCTGGAAGTTTTTCTTAAACCTAGTGTCCATTTACACATTTTTAAATGTATCTGTTCAAATGGCATCTTATTCAATTTGTGTAGTGTCATTTTTTTGTCTATATATTTTATGAATCCCATATGCCTCTTTCCTCAAGAAGATATTTCTACCTGTCTACCTGTTTAAAAATTCACACCATGAGGCAGCCATATGTCCACATCTCTCATTTCTTCAAACTTACTGAATCACTAAATTATTGTTTAAAGTAAACCAACTTTGTATATAAAAATGAAATCCTTAAAAAAAAATCCATACCTCATTTTTGGCAATCTCTATGTAACCCAGCACTTTCTCTGCGTGTGCTTTGCTGATGGTGGCTCCGACCATGGTGTCTTCCTGGAAAGGGTCCCCTATCTTCATCCTCTTGGTCTTCTCCAGGAGAATGTCCAGGAACTGAGGCAGGACGGATGTGTGGACAAATACTCTGGTACCATTGGAACACACCTGAAGCCATATGAACACCATAGCCATAGCCAAAATACCAGCAAAATGGAAGCTGAGCTCATACAGTTGTGTAAACTATATCAGATACACAGGTACAATCTGATCATGTGGCAGCTTCAACTATCTAGGCCATGGTGAAAGGCTCTGTCAAATCTTTCCCTCTGATTACAACCTTGCTCGGGTTGACCATTAAGAGGGCCATCAATTACCTGCTGACGTCCACAACAGAGACACACCACATTCTGTTTTTCTGATGCGGATCATGATGGTATTCCTCTAATAACAGACACTACACCCTGTACGTCTAGGCATAGACTTTAAAAATCAATAATTTTGTAACTGATTAAGAAAAAAAATGTTATCCTCACCTGTCCCTGTGTCATGAAGTTGGCTAAGATGGCACCCTTGGCTGCATTCTCCAGGTCAGCATCTCCAAATATGATCAGTGGGGACTTCCCACCCAACTCCAGGGTCACCTGCTTGATGCCCTGTAATAGTGGAACCTCACTTACACAGATGTATCTTCTTTTAAGAAGATTTATGCTTAAAAAGTAGACATCCTGCTCTTGCTTTATATAATTAATATATATAAATCTTATGGGTAATTTCACACAAAAAAGTAAAAATTTGAGTTATGTCAAAGAGTAATTTAAAGCTTGCTGTAGTACAACTGTGGGCCTCTTTCAACCCTTTCACCCTTTCAATGAAGGAAATAAACTGAAAATGTACTGTACAACTTAATTTGAGAATAAGGGAGATGTGTGTGTGTGTGTGTGTGTGTGTGTGTGTGTGTGTGCGTGCATGCATGAGCATGGGTAAAGACAATTATGCATGCAAAAGGTAACAGAAGAGCAATGTCCACAACGGATAAAGATGTCAATCAGTAAGTGATATCTTACCTTAGCGCAGTTTGCCATGATCTTAGCACCAGTTGGAACACTGCCAGTAAAAGACATCTTGGCAATATCCGGGTGTAGATTGAGCAAAGTCCCAGTTTCAGCTTCACCCTAGAAGAAAAAGTTTCCCTTTTTTATATACCACATTGTACATGCCTCTTAGCACAGTTTACAATGGATGCCCATGGATGCTCTTGCCTCCCTGGGGAGGATTAACTCCAGCTGCTGTATGAGGCACTTAAAGCTAGCAAACCAACAATATCTTTTACTGCCACACCAGGAACTTTACCCCTCCTCCGGCTGTTTTAAAAAAGATAACTGATTAAAAACCTAAGACAATAATCACAACCAATACAATACAATGCCTTCTAAGGTATCACAACTAACACAATCTAAAACCTCCCAAATGATCACACATAACGCAATATATACCTGAGGCAGTATCACAACAAACACAATCTGAAGCCTTCCACATGATCACACCTAACACAATATATACCTGAGACAGTATCACAACTAACGCAATCTAAAGCCATCCACATTATCACACCTAACACAATGACCTCATTCCATACAAACCTGTATAACATTGAACACTCCCTTGGGCACCCCAGCCTGTACATAGGCCTCGGCTAACATCACAGCTGTAATGGGAGTCAACTGCGATGGTTTAAACACCATAGTATTACCACAGGCCAAGGCAGGCGCTGACTTCCAGGCTGCCATCTGATATGGGTAGTTCCAGGCTCCTATGCCGCCACAGACGCCCAGTGGCTCTCGCCTAGTGTAGGCAAAACTGCCACCTGGCAGGGGGAGGTGGGTGCCTGCAATGCAAATAAAAGTTTGCCAAATTGAAGATCTTGAATTGGAAAACACCATTTCCACAATTTGTCTTTTTTCTTTTTTTTTATAAGTTTTGGGTGTAACCACAATGATGTTTATTTCTATGGCAGAGAAATATACCTGTAATAGGTTTGCTGCTCCCTCAAAACTTAGTCTGAGCACAGTGTCATTTTATAAACCTTTAAACAACTGGCTTGCAAGACTGGGGATTTTTTTTAATATTTAAAACACCGGTAGAAACACCTGTAGGAATTGATTATGTAAAAAAAACTCTTGCCGAGCAATTTTCATCTCAAAATAGTATTGACAAACTTCAAGATACCTTTAAACATCTCAGCTGTTAACCACATCAACCTTTAAACTTAATACAGACAAAACATAATATTAACGGAAAGACATAACATAATACAAATACGATGTCAACCCTCATATCTAGCAATTATAAAGTGGCCCCTCTCACACCCACTAGCACAGTCAAACATTGTCACACCTAACACATTACAAACACAATCTCACCCATTATGGTAGGAGCAACTCCAGCAAAGTACTCAATAGTCTCTGTGCAGCCTTGGATGTCATACCGTGCCTCCCATATTGGCTTGCCTGTGTCTATAACCTCAGCTTTAACAAAGTCATCTTCATTTTCCTGGAACAGTTTTAAAATATTATAAGAATGAATATAACAGACTTTTCAAAATAGGGCCTTTAAGCCATTCTCAAATATTTTATTAAACGGATAACAACTCTAAGTATAAAATATTTAATTCAGTATAATACATTGTAAACAACTCATAGAAATAAAATATATTCAACTTTACCACAAAACAGCAGTTATAGCTACATGTATAAATCTGAAATCTGTGCTTGCCATCCGACCATGTGACCTCCATAGATGGCTCTACTCTTAAGAGATTATTAAAAAAAAAAAAAAACAGAGACTAAATTAGAATGTAGAAATGGATTCATTGACCAATTAAAACAAATGCATGTGCATGCATGCTTTAGGTATGTACTCCTAACCTTTACTATCTGAGCTGCTTTGGTCATCAGTTTTCCTCTCTCCATCCCTGACATGTCAGACCACACATCAAACGCCTCCCTGGCTGCTGCCACGGCCCTGTTGACATCCCCCTTCCCAGCACTCTGGACTTTCCTCAGGACCTTGCCTGGAAAATTGAAGATGATAATTATTATTCTACTGGGGTACGCTTTAAAATACACTGGCGAACATGTGAGTGCTTCTGTCAGCACCCTCCTCTGGTAATTCACAATTTCCTAAAATAATTTGATGTTTTAAAATGACTTAGTTGACAAGAAATACAGTAGTATTACTTAGTGCACAAAATTGGACAAAAGCCCATGTTTTGTTCTACAGACAGTGATTGCACATTAGAAGTTCAATCCTGATAATTTCTGACACATCTCAAAATAACATATGCTGATTGCTAATTCAAGGCCGACTCCATGAAATACAGTTGCAGTAAGTTTTCCTTATACATGTATATATTTATATACATGTATATATATATATATATATATATATATATATATATATATATATATATATATATATATATATATATTTATATATATACATGTATATATGGGGTTTGCCAATTATCCATCTCTACCCTCAACTTCTCCATATTTGGATTACAATTCTTCTGTGGTGTATATTTTGCTCATCACTTGAAAAGTGTACAAAAAAATGTGGGACCCCTTTGCTTTTATTATCATTAGGAGCAATAGTTGATGCATTGGTATATTAATTGTACTTGTTGCTGAGTAAATGGTATAATATGGCTGTATATGTCTGCATGACTGTGATGCAAAAAGTTTCACCTGTGGCAGGTTCTACAAGTTCAAACTCCTGTGTTTTGTCAGTGTTGGCTGCCTCCACCCTCTCTCCATTTATGAAGTTGAGAGGTTGATCAATAGCTGGAATGTTATGGGTCCATCTCCTTAGTAACACAGCTTGAACCCCTGCAGGTCGCACACACAAGGTGCGCAACATTTTACTGGAATTGCTTAGGCCTAAAACAATTGAAGACACAAATCAACAAATATACCAATAATAATAAAGTATATCAACATGATGATGATGACTAGGATAATAATTAAATATATTTTTATTATAATTGTTATAGTAAATAATAATAATAAATATACTTGCAGTACAGTACTTACATGCATAAACATACACGTATGATGAATTTAATCAATGCAAAAATATGTTTTGACATTAATATACTACTGCAGTGCCAAATGAACAAAGAGAGTCTATCTCTTCGTTTAACTCACATTTTATTGTTATGCTAGTATTACAAATTGCAGTTGCAAGTTATCCCAGTAGGTCTATATCATTGACATTTAACTTATAGCATGTAACGTTTAATATGGTCTACTGTACAGTACATGTACCAGTAGCTGTTGCATGTGCGCGTATCACAAATAATCAGCCTAAGCAGCACCAACAAAACAGTTAGAATAGACAAGTGTGTTGCTCTCGTTAATGCAGGTCAGATATTAAAGGATCAAAGTACCGTTTACGCACCTGTTTTCTGGTAATTTCACCTTGACAACATTAATCGTTGTTTCACATGGACGCGGCCATATTTAAAGTGCCCGGACGCATATCTCCCTCTCCAAAGTTCAAAGGGTACAATTCCCCAGACAAACAAATATTCAAACTACGATTATGTGTACAATTTGTTATAAATTTTTCACAAAAATTCTTTTAAACTTTTACTAAAATCACCTTTATCTTATTATGCTAAAACTTACCAATATAAAACAAGAATAAGCGTCAGTTAAATGTTATTTTACTAACCCTTCAACCCCATCTTTAGACTCTCCGACTGAACGGGTCAAAGGTCACTCAGTTACAGGTACGCGATAATCATGGCGGAGGCACTGGTGAAGCAAGCTGTAGAGTACGTTGCAAATCATCCATGGCTTTTATTAGCAGGGATTCTTCTCTACGCCGCTTTATTCCTTATATCTTCCACCTTTTTCTCCGGGCCGAGAGCGGATAAAAATCCGTTCGAGATCGACGCCCGTCGACCGCCGCAGCCTCTTGTGACAGATCATAAAGCAAGAGATGCAGTGTTGAAACAGGGTAAGGTTATTGCATGTGCTTGTGCTGGTATTGTGACAGATGTTGATCTTTTCCACCCGACCCTTGCAATAATGTATTAACACTAAAAAGTGATGCAGAATCTCTTTTGGTATGATTCTTATTGTCTTCTGATAATGACTCATCTCTTGCCGTTTGAACTTATTCTGACCCTGGACTCTTGAACCCCATTATTATATGTCATGTTTATCAACCATAGATCTTGAGAAATGTTCACTCCTTGAACCCAAGGCTTAACCAGTTCAAAAGGGTACGAAATATTTTATACAGGTAATCATCATTATCATACCTGGTATTTTGATGTATGAAAACGACCTTAACTTAAACTGCCATATATACTTGTACATCCAGTAGCTGTACATGAATTTATGTAAATCTTTTTTCCTTCAGGTTTTAAACACGGCAAAGTCCCAGACAAGTTAGATGCCATAGTCGTAGGCAGCGGTATAGGGGGACTTGCTGCAGCCGCCATCTTGTCTAGGGCTGGGAAACGCGTTCTGGTACTGGAGCAACATGACCAGGCTGGCGGCTGCTGTCACACGTACATTGACAAGGGGTACGAGTTTGATGTGGGTACGTATAAGTTTTTTCAATTGCAGTGATTTTGAATTGGTAAATGCATTGCATCACTGTACTCTCACATAAAAATAACATAAAATACTTAGAAAGTAATTGCTTAAGAAAAAGAGAAAAAATGATGATGATTTTTATTTCAGTCTACAAAGTAAGGCACTGTAGAATGCAGTGCTTATGGAATGAATAAGTCTCTTTCGTTGATTTGATGTTATTAAACTTCTCATCAGAAAATGATGCTGCAGTTATTTGCTGAAATGAGTTTTTTCTGTGGCATCTAAGGCCCCATTCAGAATAGGGGACTAACTAGTCCAAAGGTAAAATATGGCAGACCCACTTGAATATTTCCCCACAGGATATCTATTCAGTGTCTATTAGTAGATTATTATGTTCAGTGGAGGGGTAGCCATCATATTTCACATCTACATATTAACATCTCTACCCCCAGGTATCCATTACATAGGAGAGATGCATGAGAAGAACCTGATGAGGTTTATACTGGACCAGATGTGTGAGGGTCAGTTGCAGTGGGCCAAGCTGGACGATACCATTGACACAGTGAGTGTCCACTTATAAATGACCCAGGTCAAGTTTCTTCAGTTATCCTGAGAATAGCAGCCATTTTTGTCCACTTATAAATGACCAGGGTCAATTTCTTCAGTTGTCCAGAGGACAGCAGCCATTTTTGTCCACTTATGAATGACCAGGGTCAATTTCTTCAGTTGTCCTGAGGACAGCAGCCATTTTTGTCCACTTACAAATGACCAGGGCCAAGTTTCTTCAGCTAGAATAGCGCTAACACTCACCAATTCAGCCAAATGCTAAAAATGACCAGAGTTGGCTAAACAAAAAATGGTTGTTTTGATTTGTTTTAGTTAAATTTAAACCACTATGAAAAAAAGTGATGAAAAAGTAGTGATTTGGCTAAGAGAAAAAAATTGCCAGCGCTACCTCAGATCTGGATAAGTGTAGCAGTCATTTTTGGCATGCTGTATATTGGGCTAAGGGGTACATCTTTGTAGTAGTGCTTACTTCTCATACATGCACAGGAAAATCGTACATGTTTCTCACCCAAAACCCATAATTTTAAATAGAATATGCTGATATCACTGTTTTGATAACACCATACGTAGGGTGATATCAGCCCCTCGTTATATAAATTAGGTACAACAGTACTCTGATCCCAAGTTCCGTCAGTTATCCCAAGGATGGCACAGATTACTAGAATATAAACTATATCAATGTGACGCCATAACATTTGTTAAAATTTTTATTTAATATTTTAATAGTACAACAGCATTGTTTTGTGATTCCAGGTAGCTCTAGGAGATGCTTCAAACCCTCGACTTGTCCCTCTAAAGGTTGGCCTCAACAATGATTTCCAGAAGAGTCTCCTGGCAGAGTTCCCAGAGGAGAAAGAAGCCATTAATAAATTTATGGACATGTTGAAGGTAGTTACGGAGACTTCTTGGTAAAAAAAATCCTGTGTCATTTTGCATTCTTTTGACACTAAAATTGTACATGTTTTTCTGATAAAGTTTAACTAATTTAAAATTAAATGCTGTTTTGATATTCAGGTATGTACTAGGTAATTGTAAAGAAACATATCTTGTCTTGTGATGTTAGTGACAGATTCACAGTGTCATCAAACCATTGTGTCAAAATTAAAAGTAGTTTAGCTGTTCATTTCTTAATCACAATTATAAACCATTACTGACATCAGTGTTGTTAAAAGTATGTCATTGTGATTATTAAGAGTTGGTCTCCTGTGGAAATATGTTGGAAGAAATCAATATAATGCTTGACATTTCACCCGTTCGTCAAATGGTCGTGATCACATGATTTACTTAGCGTTGAGTCATGGATTTGAACTCTGAACGTGGAACAAAATTTGAGCTCAAAACTGAAATATCCTGCAGCACAGCTAAGAACATGTTAAGTCTCTTAAAAAATGATAAATTATTATAATTCTTTACCCAGTTATTATGGCATTTCTACTTCCAGCAAACTCGACTAAATTTCCAAGGCTACATGCAGTCCAAGGGCATGGCAACGTGGTTGGCTAAGTTCCTGGTGAAGACTGGCCTCCTGAAGTTTACGACTAAATATTTCAACTACTCCCAGAAGACCCTGAGAGATGCACTGAATGAACTCACAGATAACCAGGATCTCAAGGCTGTGCTGGGGTACTGTTTTGGAGATTATGGTGAGAAAGCTTCACCACAACAAATGCATTTGTCACACCTAACAGGCTAACACAATATGCTATACTTATCTACTTTAGCTATTACCATTCATCTTTTATTCTTTTATTATATATGATTACATTATATTTTATTTTGTTTTATTATCTTTAAAATTAATTATTAAGAAAAATATTTTATAGACCACAAAGAGTTCACATGAGCAGACAGCATGTTTATAGATATGTTTTACCAAAATGTCGGACAAAAAGATATAGAAACACTTTTATCCCATACTGTTTATATACGTGTCAATGATCTAGGTCTATCCATTAACTTTTAGCTTTTGAAAATAACAACGAATCACCATTTTTAACCTCATTATTGGTTTTATAACTTAGAATTTATCTTAAAGCTCTATTTTAGTACTACATCTTTATACTTTTATACATATACATTCAATATATGTCTTATATATTGCAAAGAACACAATAAACCCTTTATTATTATTATTACAGCAAGAATCATTATTACAAACATAGTTATCACATAGCAGCATTACAATTCACAACACTGACATTTTCAGCAATGTGTGACAATCAACCACCAATACCTTAACTTCAGTTGATTTTTTTTTTTTTGTCACAGGTGTTGCTCCCAAAGAAGCCAGTTTTGCCATGCATGCCTCTCTCCTCAACCACTACCTGAAAGGTGGCTGGTATCCAGTAGGGGGCGCCAGTGAGATTGCCCACAGTATCATTCCTGTGATCGAGAAGAGTGGTGGCAGAGTGCTGGTGAGGGCCAGGGTGACCCAGATATTGTGTAACGAGAAAGGAAGAGCCAGAGGTAAGTGTCACGTCTTTTGGCAGAGGCCTGCAGAGGGAGGCACCTGTCTTAGCTAATGCAACTAGAATTTATGCAATTTTTAAAAAACCTTTTGTTTTTTTTAGAACAGCATTTCTCTCACCAAATAGATATTCTGTCTTTTTGGATCAGAACTGATAAAAATAGAGGATCAATTTCAGCTCACTACATTCTAACCTATTGGTACAGTTGATTTGGTATTTATAAAAGTCCCTTAAAAACCTTAAAAAATTCCACTGAAAGAAAACCCATAGATTTGCAATATAGAGGGCAGCACTTGCTGTGACAGCAATACAGAGCTATGTTGATTGCAGCCAAACTGTTCCATGTTAATGAGAAAGAAAGAAGAGTTATGCAGTTAAGGATAAGAGTTATTAGATAGAAAAAATGTTGAGTAAAGCATGTCAGAGGTAAGATAAAAATAGTCATGTTAGTTAATGTTTGCACTGGAAAAACGACTAGGCTGAATTTTTAACTTAAATTGTATGAAACATTTTATTTCAGGAGTGAGAGTTCATAAGAGCAGTGGTGACATTGATATTACGGCACCTCTGATCATATCTGACGCTGGAGTCTTTAATACCCTTAATACCCTACTGCCAAAGGAGGTGGCCCAGAAATCAAGTGAGTTTCAGAGAATTGAACTTTTAGACATAGTAGTAATTCTCACTTCTTTACAATGGTTATTATTTGCTTTTATGAGAGGCAAGATGTTTGAGTATGAAAATTTCTGCATGTTCAGTATTTTTCTGAGAGAAAAACATTTTTAACTTTAAATGTGGTTATGGGAGGGGGGAACAGCTTATAATCACACACACAAACACACACACACACATACATGCATGCACATAAACATCCATGCACACCAATGTTTCAATAGACTTAACGTAACTTGGATTTTCCATTTAATAGCTGTGAGCCAAATATTTCATACAAAAACTGTGTTTTTTAGCTGTGTTCCCCTATCTCCCCAAGTTAAAGAATGGCTGGGGTGGCTTCAATATCTTCATTGGCCTGAAGGGAACAAAGGAAGAACTCGGTCTGAAGCCAAGCAATGTGTGGGCCTTCACCCAGTATGTATTCACTTTCATTGTGTTAGCATTGCTGTGATTGCAATTTCCAAAAAGAGAAACCAAAGCTTACTTAAAGGCATAATAACTCTTTGTATGAGACCTATATTTCACAATAAAAACCTTGTGAATAACTCATAGAAATATAATATATTCTGTTTTACCACAAAAACAGCAGTTATAGCTTTTATTCTGATATTTGAACTTGTCTTTAGACCACGTGACCTCCATTGATGTCTATACTCTGTTAAAATCTCTTAAGAGATTTTAACAAAAAACCAAACTTTTTAGAAAAAAACCAGGGACTTACTTTGAATGTAAAAATGGATTCATTAGCCATTGGTAAGCATGGGAAAATTGTTGTTTACTCCAGGAAAATTCATTTTTTGGCCGAAACGAAGAGTTATTATTGCTTTAAAATGACATATATAAGTTTATGTTAAATATAAGGCATCCAGTTGAGAGTAAGTATTCACATTTATCTCTGTCTGGTCATTGTAAATAGTATAATGGCAGACACTGTAAGAACTGACACTTTTTAAACAGATTTTAAAAGTTTGTGTATATATGAAATGATACATGTGATCGTGATATTACAGGAGTGATCTTGATGGAGCCTTTGATGAGTACGTGGCCAAGCCTGCAGAAGAAGCTGCCGAGTGCGACGTCCCCTTGATGTTCATCTCCTTCCCATCAACTAAAGATCCAACTTGGGAGGAGAGATATCCTGGTAAGAAAGACTGCATGTGTGTGTGCATGTGTGTGTGTGTGTGTGTGCGTGCATGCATTCAAGCACATGCATGACCTAATGACAACCTGTGCCGTAAATGTATCAGTTTTTTGTCATTTGGACCACCAGTTTCCTAAAAGCTAAGTAGCTTTTCTCAGTCAGGATTAAATGGTATGAATTAAAATTTCAGTAAGACGGGACATTTCCCCATTATATGTCATATTAAGATATTAATTTTATCAATTTTTTTTTTTTTTTTTTTTTTTTTTTTTTTTTTTTTTTGGTAAACTTAGAATCAACATGTAAGAGTTACATTGCTGAAAAAAATTTAATTCAAATCGAAACTCTTTTGAAAACATACATTAAAAAATCTGCTGGTCCAAGCAAAATTTCAGTAGGCAAAGGACCAGTGAGTAACAAGGCAGTCAGTAACTAGAAGCACAGTTGTACAGTATGTGTCTTAGATTCCAGGAAAACCATTCCTTATGGTGTATGAAATTTGCACACTCTTTTAAACTTTTACTTTCAAAACCCAGGCAAGTCTACCTGTGAAGTTGTAACTCTCCTTCCCTGGGAGTGGTTCAGCAAGTGGGAAAATGAGCGGGTGATGAAAAGAGGGGAGGAATATGAAGAGTTGAAGAACAAGATTGGACAAAGGATGTGGGATCGTACAGTGCAGCTCTTTCCTCAGCTGAAGGATAAGGTAGACTGGGTTGAAGTTTTGTTCTTGTTCATATCGAACAGTTTGATCATTTCTCACAAAAAATTTTTCCCAAAACATTCTTTATTCATTTAAGTTTTAATTTTCGACAAAGAAAATAATGTTTTTCAAAAACTTCTATAGATCACTCATTGATCCATCACTTGGGTTTGTCTAGCAGTTAAAATGAATAGATTGTTGACAGGTGATTGAATGTTTTTGCAAAATTGAAATAATGTACTTCTAAAAAGTATGTGATATATCAGCAATAGTATAAAAAAACATGATGTCTGTGGGGAACTTTTACCTCAATCAGCCCAACACTCCTAGTCACCACTAATTATATATAAGATGATTAATTATTGTTTTACCTACAAGCTTCATACTCAATGCTATCATGCTGCCCCCTATAGGTGGATTACTTTGACATTGGCACGCCAGTCACCAATAAGCACTACATTGAGGCTCCACGCGGAGAGATCTACGGACTTCATCACGATGTTGACAGGTTTGGGGAGGAGTTGTCCATGACCCTGAGGCCCAACATTGGTGTCCCAGGGCTTCTGTTGACAGGTAATTTGTCATGGCTGAATGTTTAAAGATCCATACAAAGTCAATTTTTTGTCACAAAAACCAACCAAATGCCAGCATATAGTTTCAAGTAGTATAACTAAGAGAATTACCAAAAGGCATTGTTTAATTTTACCCGAAAATGATGTTTGAACGGATTTTTTCTGCTGGCATTCTAAGCTGTATGTCAATAGGGCATGAAAGTAGGTCACGAAAGTAGGTTAAATTTACAACCATAAATTTAAAGAAAGGAGCAGTCTAAAGGTCTTTAATGGCTGATCGAGTGATCTATTCAGTTTATCCCTTGGCATGTCGAATTTATTTGAGTCGTATAAGAATCTAGTAGAAGTGGTTTACATATGTTACTGGGAATCCATGCTCCACCGATGCTCGGTTCGTATGTACCTTTAAAGGATTATGCCTGATTTCAGGACTTTTAAGTCTTCATTTTGATCGTTTTGTAATGTGTCTAAATGCAATGACAAATTGCAAGGTTTCAGAATTTACAGTTTTTACAACTTTCACCCAAGCATTGTTAGATATCATCTTCAGAGGACATTTATGTAGTCTCAGTTTTGTTTTGATTGGGAGATGAACAGAAAAGGGATTGGATCTTCCACTTAACACTAGTTGTTCAGATTACAGTGAAAGGAATTACAGTTCTGATTGTTCCTATTTGCCAGTGGACTATTCCATATGAAACAAATTAATCATACAACATGGCTCTAGACTATGATTTTACTTTTACATGATATGTTGTAGGGACCATGCTTTGAGGTTTCATATAACACATTCCACAGAGGTGCCACATCATAGCCCTTTTGTGATATACTGTACAAATGTATCAGCCCCCTCCCTTCCCCCCTCCTCTGCACGTGCGCACGCACACGTGCACACACACACTTCTACAGGCTGACACAACGGAACACAATCGTGAATGTTTATACAAATTATGTAATCATTATACATTTCAGGGCAAGACATACTGAGCTGTGGTTTTGTTGGGGCCATGGCTGGAGGATTGTTATGTGCATCTGCTGCCCTGCACAGGGATGTTTATGATGATGTCTTGAAGCTGTACAAGAAAAGCCGAGGAAAGAAGTGAATTTGGGAGGCTTTTGCCTTTATGTCAACGCCTATCTTTGTTGAAGGTTGTAAAACCTACCAGAAATGTGCAGGAAAAAAAAGTGGATTTTTAAAGTCTTCTAGATATTGTTTATTTACAAAATTGGAGTTTGTGGGAGGTAAAGGAAGACCAAGAAAACTTGGGTGATTGCGTGTGAGCTTTAACATGTGAGATGCACCACCTAATTGCTGTAACAATATTTTTGTTGGGTTAAACAGAACTAAAACTGTTGAATTCCTAAGAGATTATAGAGTCTACAATACTTCGAGGAGTAAAATATCACTTTGAACAATTTGCATTTAAATATATTAAAGATATTCTTTTATTGAAGCTCAATATTTGCGCAAGGCTTAGCAAAAAATCACAAAACTTTAATTTCATATAGTGTGGGAAAATATTTGCACAGCACTTATACAGAATTGTTATATTAATATGTATTCATCAATATATGTATATTATCATATGTTGTTGCTTTTTCTGGCGTAAATATGATAAAATTACTATCTTTCTAAATTAGGCAAATAACATATTAGAAAGTTCTTGTCACTGTAATCAAGTTTATCAAGCTAAAACTACGTGCAAAAGCATGTGTCGAGTTTGCAAGATGACGCTGTTTTTTTTTTTTTTTTTTTTCAAAGTTCTTGAATGCTTCAACAGTATTTGCCGCTCCATTCGCAGTTCTGCCGCATATTCTTGTTTGTAATTCACTTATTCAAATATATCTATGCATTTAAACTTCAATCAAATTTGCTAATGATGGTCTGAGTGTGATAATCGTGCACACATGGCGGTTTTTAAACAGGAGCAGCCTACACGCTTTGGAGCTGCCGTCAATTGTTAACAAAAGCCGAGTTGCCATAGAAATATTTCTGACCAAGCAAGCGCTTCGTGTAGTAAACCTAGTGGTGACTATGTTGACCTCGAGCAAGGCTTATTTTCGAGAATTTTTCTTTGTAGCTTTCTGGAGACTGAGAACGTCTTGGAAGAGTTTTCTATTAAGGACCACTTCTGCTGTCAGCAGGCCTGCAAACAGTGCTCCGACCACTCCGCATGTTAGGACGTCTTGACCTGGAATTGCAACAAACACAATCACAACCAGCACAATCATTGACTGTCACACCTAATACAATCCCTGGAAGTGCAACACACTAAAACGCGCCAGAACACTTTGATATGAAAAGAAAATGTAGTACAACGCGATTACAGCTGTTGATAGGTAGCCATTTCATATCGCGGCGCTTCGCCATATTGTCAGGCGTAGCTTCCAGTGACCCCATCTCCATGAATAGCTATGTCGCTGCCTGGGCATTGATCATAGAATACACAGTAGTAACCATAGAAATAATCGATGGTTATTTAAAATATTGATTAAATAATTTTTCAAATTAGAAAAAAGGTTTATCCAACCCCAGGGACACCCCACCCCCCAGTCGCATTAGCTCCGATTATAGTTCCATCAATCCCCATAGATTCAAATCCCTCACCCCGACCGACTAGAAGGAGACGGCGGAAACGCACGGACAAACTGGGCTTGCGGGATAAAATGTCTTGTCATAAAAATCAGGGATAATTAACGAACACACCCAATGATTGAGACGTTTTAAATATTAAATTATCATTCACAAAACCTCACTACATCATCCATTACACGTGAGAATTAACCCCTTCCGTGCATGGCTTATCGCCAATCTCATCAAGAAATTGCGTCACACCAAATATTAAATTATCATTCATAAAACATCGTTACATCATCCATTACACGTGAGAATTAACCCCTTCCGTGCATGGCTTATCGCCAATCTCATCAAGAGATTGCGTCATACCAAACACAATACATACTTTCTCAGATTAGCATTCCGACAACTCCACACGAAACTTTGATCTTTATCATAAAAGATATGAAGGAACAATTATTCACTAAGTTTCCACATTATTTCGTACAGATTATTTGCATTGAATTTAGTATTTACAAAAAAATCGTGTATTTTTTAACAAAATGTGGTAAATCTTTAATTATTCCCATGGCTACCCTTGCTGTCAGGGCGTTATAAATCTAGCTTGCTCACTATAGGGGCCTACCTTTTCATGTGTTCACTTTACGGTATTGCTGATGTGGGTTATTTATAAAACAAGATCGACCTGGCAATACCGAAATCTAAAACCTAGGGTACCCATGACCCAACTTATACTGTATTTAATAATCCGATCCGCCCCCCCCCCCCCCCCCCCCACACACACACACACACACCTTGGCGTGGGGTTCGGGGTCCCTTCAGCGGGCCCCGAAAAAAATTGGGTATTTTAGAGGGCGAACGGTGCCATTTGGGACGGTTTAGAACTACGATTCAGCTAGTTAAAATTCTTACCTCAAGAGGGAGTGATTTTTTTCAGAAATCGAAGGGGGGTGGTTAGGACCCCCTTAACATCCGCCACTGTCCATTAATTGGTCAGAATTCCCTCCAAAAGGAACCCCATACTAGCCTGCATGCGTTCACACACATTCACCTGTTGCAACCAATATCCATATCACATCTAACACAATGTCACAACCACAATAACCCATTCCACCCTCACCTGTTAGCAGTAAACCTGGAATGCCAACGTCTGGACGGAGCTCCGTTGATATTTCGGCAGAGCACCGCGCCCTGTTTTCTTCCAGGCCGTACAACTCCCCGCGTGGCGCGCCGTAATAATACTTGTTGGTCAGCGGGGAGCCGACTGTCATGTATTCAACCTTGAATAACATAATGGATACATGTAGACTGCCCTCTACTAGGATGGCAGATATTACAGGCACAATTTCAACATTTGACAGAGAACCAAATGACTGTACATGTCTATTTATCTAGAGACATATCTGTGAATATCTTGTGAAAAATCAATCTGTCGCCCTGGTAGAGGGTACATGTAGACCATGTCAGTGCTCTGTTGCCATACTCAGACCGAGGGTTTGGGACTCAAGGGGAACCCTGAATTATATTACAATCAACATTTGATGATATTGCAAAAGCAGAAAAGGGATCATCCGAGATATTCGTATGGCTCGAAGTCCTGCGATTTAGTGTACAGGAGTACGGTCTGAAAAAATAGTAGGCTAACGATCGCGAGTGCGGTGCAGCAAAAAAAAAAGCTGGCGAAATTTAACAAAAAACAAAGGTAAATGACTTCCTGGTTGTTTTTTTTTTTCCTAAAGCTTGTTGAATTACTATTTTTTTGCACTAGTGCGAATTCACCACGTATCCTGTTAAAGTTTGTTAAGTCGAAATTCCCAACGCAGAGTTTCACCTTGATCGCTAGCAGTTCACCACATCTCCCACGATCCTTCACACATAATCTCGTCACCTCACGCAGTGCCGACATCCTAGTGTTTCTTAATCTCGAATGATCCCCACTGCGAGATTATCTTGCTTATTAAAACTGCAGCTTTAATTGGTTGGTAATACAGGGTGATTCCCCCCCCCCCTTTTATATAATTAAAATTGTATTAAATCCTACAAAGGTCCGAAAATTTTAAGAAATTTGCTGGACATAAATTGCAGTCTGGCAACGATTATTTCCAAAAGTATTAGTTATCTTGGTCGCTTTGCATTAAAGTTATGTTCGTTCGCAAAGTATGCATCGTACCAGTTTGCGTTACTCTTGCCCCATTCAGAATAGGGGACTAACTAGCGCAAGGGTCAACTGTGGCCGACCCACTTGAATACTTCCCCACGGGATATCTATTCAGTGTCTATTAGCGGATTAGACGGCAAGCTTTGTTGTGGATCGCTATATTTGACCCTCGGACTAGTTAGTCCCCTATTCTGAATGGGCCCCTGAAATATTAATAAAAAAAAAAAAAAACAGATTTCCCTTCTCCAAAGCCAAAGCGAAAGTTTTAAGAGCATTGTGTACAAAGCCCCCCCCCCCCCCTACAATTTGATATGCAAACACTGCAAGCTTTTTTTTTCTTCTTTTGTAAGCATAGAGTTGTGATATTGACAATAACTTTTTCCTTCCTTCCCCTCAAAAGTCTCTTCTCAAAATTCTGGAAATTAGTTATGTAATATTTTAACACCGTTTCCAAGTATCGGGTAAGAACGTCAGGACATGTATGTTGGATAAGCGCCTGGATGATACAGCATGGTTAGCCCCGGTTTCTTTCCCTTCTTTCCCTCTCTCTCTCTCTCCCTCGCTCGCTCGCTCTCCCCCTCCCTCGCTCTCTCTCTCCCTCTTTCACACCAGGAAGGAAAAGAGGCGTCTTATAGCTGAAATACACGAATTTGCGGTTCGATATTTTTTATTCCCTTTTTGGGGTTTCGGGGGGAGGAGAGGGGTCAACAATTTACACTCACCTTATCCCTCAGCTGAGGCAGGTAGGACAGCGTCGACTCCCAGATTTTGTTGGCAAGAATCATCTTCTGGTCCTCGTAGTCCTCTCCGCGGTGGTTCACTCGCCCTTTTTCCCACTCATCGTACCATGCCCATTCCGCTGGGGCTATCACTATGCAGTTTGAACGACCTGGTGATCACAAAGAACACATTTAAAAATCTACATGTTAACACCAATAGTACACAATCAATGGTCTAAACCGAACATCGGCTTCGGCATCACCGACACATTGCTTTTAGTCCAGTACTTTATGGCTTGGAATACCAGGGGCGGATTTAGGCCGTCTTCTGGGTCTTCCGGAAGACGGTCAGATTTTCAAGTTTACATTGTCAGGCATCTAATGTTTTCTGTCGGAAGACGGTCAAAAATGGAGGATGGATCAACAAAGATAATTTGGAAGACTGTCAGAAAATATCTTTGGATCCGCCCCTGAATACAGTACTTTATCTTTGACTATCTAATACGACCAGGTCCATGCATGATGTCTAGACAGCCAACTTACAGTTTGGGTAAATTTGTCACAAACATTTTACTTTTATGTCAGTGAATAATTTATATGTCAAATATCGAAATGTTAGGACATTTTACAAAGCCAGACATGCTTTTGGCGACCATCTGAGGACACAGGGTTTCATAAGATACCCAAAAATTCCCTTTTTAATTTTTTATTCAATTATTTTAATTATTTCAATTTTAATAATCTGGAACAAGTTTCTTGATCTTGTCACAAAAATGGAGAATTCGTGGTGTTTCTTGGAGAATAACAGCGGCACCTATGTGCACCATTAAAAAAAGGCTCCGGTTGTAACTGTATATAGACGCTGGGTCTACTGCTATACCTAAATACGCATTATTTTAAAATTTCAAATAATCTGGCCAAATATTTTGCTTTTAACACAAAATTTGGCCGTGTAATATGATACACTTTCAGCTCGACCGGACATACATGTACATGTACCTCAGACCTTTTGACTGACTGTACATACAGAATATGTAAGTAATGAGGTCTAGGCCGACGGAATCACCCGAAGTTACCCGAATGGGGCCAAGGTCACCATACTGGTACAAGTACGTAGGCCCCAACACTTACCTGGAAACCGTTCCTCCCAACTGGGATCCCTGGCTGATGGGGACGAAAAGAACAACACTGGCACCTGTCTCTCGGAAGCATCTTTGGCCGTTTTAGCCGCTGAATAGTTGGACACAGCAATATCCTGATCGGGAAAGATCCAAATATTTCTTGCTTTTAGTCCCAGCTCCTCTTTGCTGCCTCTTAGTCCAACGAACACAGTGATACACGAAGAACCAGAGCACAGGTCTTTGTTCTTTATGTATGGATAAAGAGCTGAAAGGGGGGAATGAAATCCACATTGTCAAAAGTGTGTTTGATACATCAATTTATATGTACATGTACATAGGGGTGACAAAAGTATTGCACCATTTTGCTGTAACGTGAACAACAGCTGCTTTTGTTAAGTTCTTCAATTGATATATTATTGAAAACTGGTTATGCCCAGTTAGTTTCTTTACTACAGGTTTACCGTTTACAGAACAGCGCTTTGTCATTACATAAGGCATGTGATTATGTCAGTATTAATGTTTTGTGAGATAGCCACCATCCTTCTGGGCATAGAATGATAACGGTTCAGTAATTTTCTGGGGGGGGGGGGTATGTTGGCCCAGCTCTAAAGACAAAGAGCGTTTCTGGTAAAGGGACAATAATTTATCACTTGATTTCCAATCTTATTCCTCAGGTTTCAATGGGGTTTGCATCTGGTGATTTGACAGGCAAGTCCACCCTATTGTTGCCATGCAGGTGAAGTCATTCTTGTACAGCCCTGGCCTTGAGGGGTGTGGCGTTGTAATCTTCGAAAGTGAATGGGTGATTCCTGTCCCCAGAGATGTTTGCTACCGACGGTAAAGAGTATACTGGTCCATTATTTCAATTTAGTGTCATAGTGGCGTTTTACGGTTATATTTCATTTTAGAAACTTCCACATTTAAATCAAAATTATGTCAATGTGTGGTAAAGATTGTACATATGTCTCAGTTATAATGATATTACATGAATCTGTTATTGTATTTTATTCATTGGAAAGAACTGTAACCGAGTTTTAAAGGGTGTTTTCAGTTTTAAAAGGATTAAATAACTTCATTTATGACTCTATCTCCTAGTTAAAATTTAAATTAGTATCAGTTTAATTATTTTAAAGGTCTTGTAGCCCATGTCACCCATCATCGTCTTTTACTAATTTGATAAGTGGTTCCCACCTGGGAGCCCTGGTGTGAAACCTTCAAGCATGGGGCCTTCATTAAACAGCTCTTTTGCTAATCTCAAATTGCAAATTGCGCGACCACTGCGAAGTTAATTTGCTGCATGGTTCAAATCCTCTAAGCATTAATTTAACTGGCAGCATAAAAACGCCTGTCGTTTCTGGCACACGTCTTTCTCGGGCAACCACTTCGTGGTGACTTAAGGGCATCGCCAGTGTCCTCCATCCTTCCTCAAACCCTATATACATTGTAACCAGAAACACCATATCTGGCGGCTATCTGGGGGACATATAAATCATCGCCCTCAGAGGAACGATATATTTTCTTTTTTCGTTTGTACCTTTACCATGGTAGCAACTTGATAGCCAGAAGGGCATTACATCCTCGAATGTTACCCTTTATAGTACACAAGGATGGAAATTTATCAATAATTGTTACGCGAGCAATAAGCCACAAATCACTTTTCAAGAAAGGGTCCCACATGTCACACAGCGCACTATTCACACAGAGCGTGCTTACATCACCCCCTGTACGCCGTAATTCAACCAGTAGCAAAGATGGACTATGGGACTTTATTACTGGTTTATATAGGGCTGCTGGTAACTGTTAAAATCAAAGTCCTTTTTTTTTTTTTTTTTTTGGACGCACACATAAAACTGTAACACAATTATCCTCATTTTTGTTCATCTTTTGTTTAATTATCTCCAAGAATTATCTCAATTAATTTGATATCACCTGTCACTTACGTGAGGTCTCCGCGATTTCCCTGGGGAGCAACGACGTGAACGTGTTTAGAACGCCAGCGTCTGATATGACAAGAGGTGCAAAGATGTCCACCTCATCTCCAGATTTTGACTTTTCCACCTTGACTCCTGCAAAAAGTTTTTAGAGGAAAAGACACTTTATTGGCAACGGGGTATAACGCCAAGAAAATTGAGCCTGAGCATAGTTTTAACTGGACTCTGGTGTGGATATACGTTCTGTATTATGTTTACAGTACGTGAGGTGCAGTTGTCCAGGCTCAAACAACATAGGCCTATTGTGTCTCAGAATCTGCATGATATCCAATACCAACTTTATGACATTACCTACCAACGACATGACCTTTGCTATTTGTCAAAAGCCTTTTCACAGGGGCCCTTACGAGAACCTTGCCACCAGCACCCTCTATTGTAGGAATCATGTGGAATGCCACCTCACTGCTACCGCCATACGGATACCAGCTACCGTTGACAAAATGCCGGACAACCCCGGCGTGTGTCGAGAAACTTGAAAGACTTGGGACACAACCTGTAATATAATCACACAGGTAATACATACAATTTCACAAATATCAAATTTTGAAGGTGTTGTCTTCAAAGGAATCGTATCGCAATTTACAAGATGACATTAAAATTACCGCTTCCAAAACTCGGGGGAATTTTGAAAGGATACCGTAGCCGTTGTTACATGACAAAAGTGGTAAGAATCACAGCTTCCCTGCCTTTTATATAGGCCTATAAATATTTTAACACTTGTAACAACTGGGCTTACCACTTGGGCGGGGAAAATTCGATCACGAAAATTTACGTTTTTGAAGCTAGTCACGTTAACTGTTTTATATTTTTGGTAAAAATGGTCCAAAGTACTGCCAGACATATGCTTTGATTTTTGCCATCATTGATCATTAGAAAAGAGGAATTGTCCGGTCTCGGTACCCCAAACATTGCTGTACTTCTATATTTGCCTACTATTATATTTGTTATTTACAGTTTTAGGTTTACCATAATCTCCAAAGAGGTATGCAAGAACACATTTCAGAGTCTCATTATCTGAAATGCTATCTAGAATGGTCTGTAGTGTGACTCTTGTGTACATGAAGTACGGAATGAACCAATGCACGAGACCTGACCTAATGAGGAATCGTGTCAGCCAGCGAGGCCAGCTTTTCATAAGGATTACTCCCCCAAAGGATCCGGAAGATTTCTGAAAGCATAATAATAATAATTATTATTATTATTATAACAATTTTGTTTTTGCAGAAATAACCTGCCACCCTTAAGAACATTTTTCATAGATTTCCATATCTGATTGATCACAATGAATTGGTTTTTAAAGGTACATACTAACCGAGCATCGGTGGAGCGTGGATTCCCAGTAACACATGTAAACCACTTCTACTAGTTTCTTATACGACTCAAATAAATTTGACATGCCAAGGGATAAACTGAATAGATCACTCGATCAGCCATAAAAGAGCTTCAGACTGCTCCTTTCTTAAAATTTTTGGTCGGATATTTAACTTACTTTCGTGACCTACTTTTCTGCCACATTGACATACAGCATAGAATGCTAGCAGAAAAATCCGTTCAAACAATGCCTTTTGGTTATTCTCTTAGTCATACTGTACTTGAAACTATATGCTGGCAATTGGGCTGTTTTTGCGGCAAAAAATTGACTTTTTATGCATCTTTAAGGTACCAGAATGTCTGTGTTGTTACTAATAATATTGCTTATTTGCAACGTTAATATATACAAATCACAAAAAATATACAAATCACAAAAAAAAAGATGAAAATTTATTAAAATGTTCATTTGAATTAGAATGGCATACTGTATGTTCCTTAGGGATATTTAAAATGCGTTCAGAGTGCTATTTTAAAATCATACAAAAATTCCATTGATTTTAAAAGTATGCAGTGCCCATATGTATAGCAAACTATATTAAGACAGGCAAACACATTAACAAAGATAGATAAGTTATGGGCGGCCAAAAGGGCAAAAAATCCTGTCGTCGATTCAGTTATGTTTCGTCGATTCATTGCCTTCCCATCGATTCAGTTTCAAGTTTAAACGATCCTGTCATAAATTCAACATCTACTTTCGTCAATTCAACTGTCAAACATTTCTCATCTACGGTGTATTAAAACCAATGCTGTCACTATTTTCGTCGATCGTGTAACTATTCTCGTCGATCGTCTAATCTCGTCGATCGTGTAACTATTCTCATCGATCAACTAATCTCGTCGATCGTGTAACTATTCTCATCGATCGTCTATTCTCGTCGATCGTCTCATCGATCGATCGCCAGAGGGCGCTGCGGTAGCACATTGGCCTATCACATGACTATCAAAATGGCAGACAACAAAATGATTGCTAGTGAAATAAGAACATTTTCTCAACAATTTCAATTTTAGTTGTTAATAATTAAAAGATATTCGGTTGTAGGGACATTATTTTCTAGTTGTGCTTAACTCTGAACATGGCTGGCCGAGTTAAAAAATTACCGCGTGATTGACAGACAGAAGCACGTGTTGCTACCGCAGCGCCCTCTGGCGATCGATCGATGAGACGATCGATGAGAATAGTTACACGATCGATGAGATTAGACGATCGACGAGAATAGTTACACGATCGACGAAAACAGTTTGACGATCGACGAGATTAGTTACACGATCGACGAAAATAGTGACAGCATTGGTTTTAATACACCATAGATGAGAAATGTTTGATAATTGAATTGACGAAAGTACATGTAGATGTTGAATTTATGACAGGATCGTTTAAACTTGAAACTGAATCGATGGGAAGGCAGTGAATCGACGACATGAATTTTTGCCCTTTTGGCCGCCCATAATAAGTTCCATTTACACATTATGCACTATAAGCTCATTTCTAGACCTCTTAGCAGTCACTTGCAAAGCTCTGCCATGCAAATATTTATTGATTGTCAAATGTACGATGTCAATTGCAAATGGCTGACATGCATTTACTGCTGGGTATCAAAATTATATTTCCATGAATATATTAGATATAATAATACTAATTTATTTAATAATAATTTATTTGCTAAAATCGCAACCTAAAGGTTGAAGTTTTACAATGTGTCTTAAATAGTAAAATCATAAGGTATTTTAAAATTAACTAAAAATTATAAACTAAAGGACCAAAGCTTTAAAACAAGACTTATAAGACAGTTTGAAGCAGTAATTTACATAAAATTTAAAAGATTTAGAATTATAAAAGATGATTTAAAACGCTCCGTTTTCACTTTTGGTATTAAAAATTTGTTGCTGACCCTGAGATTTCTTGGGTTCTTTTGTTTAAACAGATGGTGTAGCTTATTAAAATTCTAAAATAAAAAAGCACCTTAAAACTTGCTAAAAGGTTTAAGGAATTCCAAGGAAGGACGTGCCACTACACACCTGTTTTGTTCATCGAACGCATGCTTTTCGTGATGTTCTCGCTAATTCTATTTAGCAAGTTGGAAATGTACGTTTTTTCCAGTGGAAAGAAGCTCTCGTCAATCCAAAGAAATTGGCATAAAACCCATAAGTAGAAGTATTAGATATTAGGCGTCAGTAAAAACAGCAAGTTACTAGGCAAAAACAGACCACCGAATTACACAAGATGCACAAGAAATGAGGGTGACTGTCCTGTGACTTACAAAAAAAAGGTTCCGTAAAAAACTTATCGCAATGATCATCTTTAACTTTCTTAGCGCATATCACTTATCAAAATTCGATTATTATGCAAAAAACCCTAATGCCAAAAAACTAATAAACAAACTAATACTAGCCGAAGTGATCATTTCTCGGGCAGCAGAAGAGGGCTTTTAATCTGTGACTGTTCTTTCTTCAAAATGTCTGGTTAAATTAAAATTATATATTTCATTTCAGCCCGCAAAGCACAAAAATATAGCATCTATGCTGATAGCTTTTTCATAAAATTCATCAATTTTAAATATTGATCAAATAATGCCTCAAAATATTGTTTTGTTCCTTGACAATCGTTAGCTTTTTTGTACAACTCTGTCCAATACCAAGATAGTGAAGGGCATTGACTCAAAGGCCAGTGATGCATGGACGACTAAAAGGCTACAATGTATCAGATAAATTACATTAAAATTAATCCCTTGTCCACTAGGACAACATGCATTCCAGTATCTGAATCAGAAGAAGTTTGTGTCATAAAATAGATTTGGGTGTCTTTTGAGTTCATGCAGTGAAAACACATGTTTTGTAAAAAAAAATAATAATAATAATGAAAAACTGTTTAAAAAGGCTGCAATATGGAGTTTCACAGATCAATCACAAAACCACTAAATTAGGTGTTGAGTCTTACTATGATCACAGTAAAACGCGTTAACCGATCCGTTATGTTAAATCATCCGAGAAAGTTACTTATATTTCGTGCCAAAACCTAATATTTCATTGGTATTTGCAACAATCACATTGTTGGTCACAGAATACACGTGCTTTAGTTCAAGATTATGTCAATTATGGATACGCTGATGCTAATTTACCTAACAATATGTAGGAAAGGGATGAGCTATATATAGTCACGTAGAGTGCACACGTTTAATTGCCAGTTTGTATCGGCAAGGTTTTGTTACTTCAAACATTATTTGTGCCCGTTATGCTTAATCATTAGAGCATATGAAATAACATTCATAGGTGCAACATTATGTTTTCATACCAACTGTATACTTAAAACTTAATTATTAAGTAGGTATGGTTGATTGGTCGACAGTGCTTCATCAAGAAATATAGGTATCTTTAACTTACCAAAACATGATCCTTATATCTATCAATGGCCTCCGTGTCTTGTGGAAATTGTGACTTCAAGTGCTCGAAGTACACGTTGTCGTTGCCGCCTTTTATTGTATAGTACTTAACTTCGGTTCCTCGTCCTATCGCCACCTAAAACATACATTTTGCACATGCAACCTGTTATTGCTCGATCAGCTTTCAGAAAAAAAACTAGACATTATCTGATTTATCTTGGAACGGAGTTCTGTGAAAAAATGTTCAGTAATAGGCCTACAAACTCAAAACAAACTTCTGCCATTTTTAATTTACTATTTAATTCATTAAATACACAAAATCCAATCATTCAGCTATTTCTGTACGATGTCCTTTGATCAGAATACCAACCCAAAGACTAAATTTTGTCTATTTCTTTTTCTGCTTTGATGTGATACAAGATGAACTGTAGTCTATGCATTGTGATGAATCTAATATTGTCTAACTTATACGAAGTATTACTGTACCCAAATAGTCATAAGCCTCGGTCACAAGCGGACGAACGAATTTTAGGATCATACGTGCCCCTGCAAATTGTGGGTGCATGGAGACCGTGGAGGTCGTATAGGTAGAGGAAAGGTTGTAAGGACTTCGCCAGAAAGGCAAAAGAAAGGCGCAAATCTGCCTTGCGAGGCCCAGGGACCACGTGAGATGTCCTTTCAAGCAGGGACGCTAATTGCAAGGTGCGGTTGCCATGGAAATTGTACTATTTCTTGATCTGATTTTGCTACCTACGTAAACGGCACACATTCACCATGCCAATAAAAGAGACAATGAAACACACAGCGAAGGTAATTCACACTTGCGTCATTTCTGCGTCACACTTGCCCCACACGCTCGTGATGACGTACTCACAGAGTACTGACCTCCTGTTCTCCCCTTCTTTCTTTTCCCTCTCCCCTTCTTCTTTGCACTCTAAGCTTCTTTCTTTGCCTTTTTTATTGAAAGCTAAACTGAGCAAAATCCGTTTTTTTTTTTCAAAAATGTCTGAGTTGTACACGTTGCACAATCGCCGTGGCACGTGAGATTCTGCACAAAATTCGGACGCAAACAGGCCGTAAGAGCCCGTACGGCCGGTTGTGACCTAGGCTTTAAGAACAGAAAAAAAGAGTATAATTACCACGTCATATTCGTCGTCCAGCTTTGACCAGTGTAGTTGGCCTCGGGTCAGCTGGTCACACAGTAGCCTCGGGAGGTCATCCTCACCCATCTCCCCCACGTAGTGGATGCCTAACGGAAGAGAGGGGGGTTTGTATGTTACCGTCCAAGATGCTTTCAACCAAAAGACGACTAAAAGACCTGTCATACGGACCATGCACGACTATACCCCCAAACAGTTACGACGAATAACCACGAACTTCACATCGACAACAGCTCTCAAAAAGAAAAAAATCGATATACACTGTAACTCGAATCCCTGCCACATAACCATGAAATCTAAAGGTGTCAACTTAACATTTAATGTCTTGAATAATAATAATAGTATTATTTTGAGTCTAAAATCCAAATTCATTCAATTGACTTGGCATTAAAGTGTAAAAGAAATAACTAAAAAGGCTAGTAAAAATTGATTAAAACAGGAAAATTAATTAAAACAAATAATGTAGAAATTGAAATGTTACTTGATCACTCACTCAAAAAGTCATTAATAAAAACTCTATTCATAATTTTTTCATAACTTGTTTCTGTGATAATCAAAGCTAGATCTTACCGGAAGTGGGCGTGTCCCCACCATCCTATACTCAAATCAAGTACATCATTACCTGTGTCAAACTCAAAACCTTTTTCGGTAAAGGAATGACAGCATCCTCCCGCTTGGTCGTGTTGTTCCAGGACCAGAACTTTTTTCCCTGCCTTGGCCAAGATGGCGGCTACAGTCAGCCCACCCATACCGCTACCAACGACAATGACATCAAGGTTCTGGGGAACTTTGGCGGCGGTAAACCCTGAAGAAATTGGAAGAAAGAACCCATTCCAGTTCACAGTGGAAAGTTTGGAGGGGGAGGGTCTAGATAGTGAGGAAGTCCATCGGGCTGGAAACTTTTGTTCAAACATATTTAAGGTCTAGATCAAAAGTTTGATGGCAATTGTTTTAAGGCAACAGCTGCCACTAGCAATACAAATTAGAAAATGACATTTCGGAATAAACCGTGGGAACGGTGAACATTTGGATCACCGAGCTCTCGGTCCTTGGTGTCCTAAATGTTGGTCTCTGTAAAACTCATGGACATTGAGTGGGTAATGGGGTGAACATGTTGCCGATCGGGGCAAAGGATACATACTTTGTCTTTGCAACAACATGTACTAACCAACTGATGATTAAGGTCAAACCAGCTGCATTTGTAGAGATACGGTGTACCAGTACTATTTAATTCATATCTGAATTCAAACGAGGTAACCAAAAGCACACACGCACACACACACACACACACACACACAGATATCACAAAAAATGTTTTAGTTTGTCCGGGAGTCAGTGGAGTCAGGATGGAAAAGGATGGAAAAGGAGCACGAAAAAAAAATTTTTCAAAACGTCTTTTATTGCAGTATCTCGTTTGGTAGAAATCGCAAAGTGTTATCATTATGGCAAATAATTATGTTACAGCAAAGACATAAAAGATTCCATATAAATTCATATTAAAATATACAGTTAACTACCAAAAGATCTATGTATGAACGGTGTGAAGGGGCTAAGAAGTTTTCATTTCACCGGGGAATGAAAAAACGAGAATTCTTTTTTTCACATGAAGAAAACCGTGGGAAATAAGTTTTTTTTTTCTTTTCTTTCTGAACGAAAGAAGAGAATTGCACCAACTTTATTTGATTTCATATTTATCCCAAAAAGAAGACATAAATTGTATCTGAAAGCTGCAATGGATATCTGGATCCATCATTCAAAACGGGCATTTATTCCATTTCCGTCAAATAGAGCGAACCGTGCTCCTCATGCACGTGTACAGAACAGCTTTTCACCTTTAAGGTTTCTTCGTATTATTCATAATTATCATTGTCTTAAGTATGTTAATTTGCCACTTTTGCCAAGTATCACACTTACGCCTTACTGCCAAGATCTTGCTGGCTCTCATACACGCCGAGGACCATGTGGGAGATACGAGGACCATGGGGAAGATATGAGGGCCATGGAGAAGTTAAAATTTTAATTTACCCTCAATGAATTAAGTTTAATAAACAAATATATTCATATCGGTAAAACGCCGTTTCACTTGCTCCATTTGTATATTCGGAAATGATCCTGTAGCCTGGAGAGCAGTGGGATATATATATATATATATATATATATATATATATATATATATATATATATACCCTTAACAAACAGGGACGTAGCCCTTATGTATATCCATTTTCGGATTCTATGTGACTGCAATGTAAAGAAACGTACCTTGCTTTAGCACCTTTTTCCTCTCCTTTTCGTCGGTAACCAGTGGGGCTCGCGGGCAGACGGCGTCCACTTCAAAAGGATTCCGCCCCTCTTTCTTTTTGGTTGAGATCCAAAGCCCAAGAATAACAACAAGGGTGATCCCTAAGATCCAGGCAGGACCTAGGGACCCGACGGTATCCCATATTAAAGACATCTGTGACCTAAACGGGCCTTCCTGTTCCTACCAAGCTTTTGCTTTCTAAAGACAGTCAAAAAGCCGCAGTTTCGTTAGGAAATCTTGTCCGACGACACAAACCCAACAAACGTTGGCAAATATGCTGACGTCTGACGTAGATAATTTCTGACGCCTTCTTGTCGATTGTCTTCCCTTCAATTTTTCTGGGATCCCAGGCTACTATTTTTAGGCGTCTGTGCTTGCTTGTCCCACTTGCCTGATGCGCTCGCTAGCTCTTGGCGTAATTTATGAGCATTTTGCTGTGTAATGATGACCCTGACAAAATTAATCGTTCATTATTGGACAGAGTCAGATAGTTCTATTGTTTTGCGGTAATAGGGCTACCCTACTCGATAGAGAGACTCTTTGGATTAAAAGTGAGAGCTTGATTGTGGTAAATCCCCTATAACTTGGTAATCTGATAGGTTGACTTTTTCTCTATCAATTGAATCAGCCTTTGTTTAGGTCTAAACAAACGGTGGAATAAAATCAATTCGAATATTCTATTTTTTATCATTCTTCAATATCTTTGAAATGTTATCCTTCCTGCAAGAACGTGAACAAAGTGACTTCAATACAGAAAACTTTACATGTTGGCAGGTCACTGCAATAATTCTAGCTTTCACCCCCCCCCCCCCCCCCCCCCCCCCCCCNNCCCCCCCCCCCCTTCCCCTCGTCCGTAGTATGTCCTCGACAACGTCGTGCCATATCTTATCACATAAAATATTATCTGGAACAGAGAGAGCGAGAGGGCACCAGTTGGTGATATCCACTAAGCCCATTAACTGTCAGTGAACCGTCAACAGAGATAAAACCATTATGCTGCATATTCCGTATATTCCGCAAGTATGCTAACCTTCAATTTTTTTATCAGTTTATGGAGAGGAATTGGCTCAGTGGCGTGTCTTGTTTGCGGTTTGCGTCCTTTCTGCCATCTGGTGGCCAAACACTGACTACATGATGATGAGGGTAACGAAACTTTGACCTGAACTCAGTTGATAATGGGCATAAAACTCCTCAGCAGCGGAACGTCTTTAAATCTTTTTATGTGCCTCACGTAGAAATAAAACATTTTCGCTTTCCAAAAATTGATTTCGTTCGCTAAAATTTATTATAGAAAATTTAGTATAGTGCAATTCTGCCACCAATAAAGGGAAAATATTATATCCTCATTATTTCCTTAATACTTCAAAAATCGGCCTTCTATTAATTTACGAAGATATAAAAAAGATTCAACTTCTGAGATTGGAGAAGAAAAAAATTCTCTCTTTTCTTTTAAAATAGCTGTGTTTAATTCGAACTTCATGCCTCAAACCTGTTGATTGGGTTACTGAGTTATCAATTAGCACCTCTAACAAAACAGTGCTACTTAAAAAGGAGTTCCAACGAGCAGCTGCAGCATACAGTTTCAGAAATCAGCACTACCTTAGACTTCCGAAGAGTAAATATTGTCAACGTTCGGTTGCCGGTCTTGCACAAGAAGCAAAGGCTCGAGATGGAAGAAGTTAGCTCACTTGGCACAAACCATCGTAGACAAATAGAGATCATCAAAGATACCGACTATGCCGCAGACGAAGTCGAACAGAGCAATGGCCAAGAGAAATGTGCCCGTATCATGAGCCTTTTGTATCGTATCTCCGAAATAGGCACGAGCATCGCTCATCTTGACGAAGCCGTAGCTGCGATCAAACTACTTCACGGCGAAATAGAAGAAAGCGCATTTGGTGTTGGGGAGCTGAGAGCCAAACTTTTTGACAGCAATGCAGATATATTGGCTATTGCCAGGTTTGTAATGAACAGTTTGTACCAGGTAGAAAGCTCTGGGTTCGACCAGCAGAGGGAACTGCCGAGCCACGCAGTAGAGCAGCGCATATTTACGGCCCAAGTTCAGGCAGTGCGTCGCCATCTTCACGAAACGATCACTGATTTCTACCGATCATACGAGACCCACGAGTTTAACTACAAAAAGCGCCTGGAACGTCAACTTGATATACAAGCCAGCAGCAGGCATCCATCCGACAAAATTCAAGATTTTCTCTTTGCAGAACCTGACAAAACTTTCACCAGCGAAATTCGCACGGGCGTTGAGGGCGGCAACCCAGAGACGTATATCGAAGCAGTAAACAACCAACTGGCGGACATTGAACAACTCTTCAAAGACTCGCACAGACACGCGGCTGGCGTAAGTGACATTTCAGAAATAATTGAGCGCCACGTCGCAGAGGCTGATATTGTCGTTTTTAAACCAGCTATAACATATAAGAAGAAAATCCATCCTTTGTTGAGTTGCGTGTTAGCGCCAGTTTTCGCCATCAAAAGAAGTCGAAGAAAGCCTTTGTATGCAACAAGATGAAATTGTAAATTAGATATATATGTTAGTGACTGTTCGGTGCATGTACCTACCGTAGCAGAAAATTAAGCTGATTGAACAAAAAATACATATATGCCATAAACATTCAGTAAACAGTTACCTGGAATGAAAATCACACACTGTACCTCAATGAATAGTATCAATCATTAACTTCTGTAAGGAAGACCAGCGCGTTTAACGTCCCATGCACTTAGTATTTAAAGCTCAGATAACGTTTCGTTCGCAAGATTTGTATTCTGTCATTGTTACGCGATATAATCGTACAGTTAGCCACCATTATAGTCATGTCACCTAACATCATTAAAGATGTACATATATTTTTGATCAAAAAATAAATTGTAGATTATTCAATAGCGTGGTCATTCTTTTGTTCGTTATCTTCTTCATTCTTTCTCTCTCTCTCTCTCTCTCTTTTGGGTGGGTGGGGTGGGTAGCGCGTGGCGAAGGTATACCAGATATGTGTTTGTGTCACTCAATCAGCCGAAAGTGTCAAAGTTTCAGTCGTTTTTAGAACCCTGATTTAATTGTAATTTACATGGTGCATGTCCTGAACATAATTAAAGAGATGCTACACAAAGTACCGTAATAAACCTTAAGTGGTGACTAATTATTTACTGAAATGCACTCAGAACTGTATTAATGATTTTTACAATAACAGGAAATACCCACGCTTTTCTGTCACCTTGATCGGTTAATGGCCATCAAAACAACAACAAACGATTAACGAATTTAAGAAAATATAAAATATATATACGCCACAGAAGCCTATAAACTAATTTTGATCGCCGTTTTTTCGCATAATGGTAAACTAATATGGTATTATAACGTCCTTATCCGTTATATGCTAATTCCCTTTTACTCAAACATATATAGATTATTTATCGTCTGATATTAACTCTCAACAAAAAACAAACTACCAAACTTTTTATAAATTGCAATGGATTGATATGCCTATACCTGAGTAAAGAGAGTCCAATACAACATGGTGCATTTCTCCATGAGCTTTTTCCATCTCCATCTCTTTTCCATCTTATACCGATGTGCTCATACATGTCCAATTGATGTTGATTACAAATTCATGTTGAACTTCATATTTATCCCAGCTTTTATCCCAACAATAAAGAATTTTAATTTTAAAAAGTTTTTTTTTCTTCCCAATTGGATTTTTGGGAACTATCCATAAAGCTGCATTTTTCTTTGTAACTGCCCAATGTTCACCCGTTTCTGCATTAGCTGGAGAGGACAATGCTTTCTCTTCTCCGATACGTTTTATTGTGGTATTTATTGAGCAAAACTCGTCTAAAATCGTCTATTTACTCATACGATGCACAAGACCAACTGAGCAGATATCAGCGCTGTAATATGATTGTCACTAGCGCGAGAAGAAGCAACAACTAAATTGTCGTTTTGAAATCAAATTTTATTTCCATCTACCATTGCACAGTGCCCAATCGTGTTCATTTTCAACTTTAACACGTCTTTTTTTCCATATCAGTCACCAGGCTTGAAATTTCTTTTTTCCATATCAGTCACCAGGCTTGAAATTTCATCAAGTAATGACAGCAAATATTTCTATCGAATTAAAAAATTCAAAACTTTTGAATTTTATCCAAATATTTTAGAAATGTATGTACCTTTCTTGAACAAAGCATGTGGTTTTTAGTTCAAGGAATGATTCACTTGTTCAGATATAAAATAAATCTTTATATTACAAAAAGCGACCATGGAAAAGGAAAAACTGAGGCCGATTATAACTGTTCACATTCATTTGGGATTCTGAATCAACCTCATTACACAAGGCCTAAAAAAGAGATAATAAATCAAATGGTGACAGAAGAAAAACAATTCAGAGGTGACTGTTTATGAAAAATTTTTCCTCATTTTGTTTTTCAAAATTACATGTTATGAATAATCACCACCTATTTCAGTTATGCACTACTAGTACTGTGTTACTATGGATATTCAGAAAATGTAAATAACACAGGGCTGCAGACACATGGGAGTTTAATGTCACTTCGAAACTGCCGATATGTGAAAAACGAAACTTTCACAAGAAAAAGAAAGACTGCTTTACTTCAAGAAAAAAATCCAATCTTGCTGATTCATAAACTCGAGCTATTAGTCCTGTGAATCATTCCTTCAAGTTTTAAAAACAATATAATGACAGTGTTAAAAGAGCAATGCACATCCAAACTCACATCTGTAAAATGACATTTTGTGAAAAATGAAAAATTGACAATAAAAAAAGCAAGACTTCAAGAAAAGGAATATAACCCCCCAAAAAAACTTCAATGCATTCCTACTTAATTTATTGATGGTTTTCCACTTATGATGATTATGAGAAAAATACCCAGAAAGTGTACAGTGACACCAAAGTCAAAAAGGTGAGTACAGATGCATTCACATAAAAACATAATAAGGGTCCAGAGAAACTTCTGTCTAATCTGAAATCCGTTTATACTCCGTTTTATCACATTCTTATTAAAGGTAATATCTGTCCATAAAAACAGGAAAATCTGTCTCACCTGAAATACGTTAACTTTATACTCTGTTTTATCACGTTCTTATTAAAGGTAATTTTTACATCCTAGTACTCATAAATCTACACTGACCAATTGTTCTGGGAAATCCTCCCACTGTCTCCACTTCTGTGATATTTCTACCACTCTTTCAGACATATCCTCTTTGCTCATAGCAAACATCCAAATTTGTTTTGGATTTCTCTTGCTGCAGTTGTATCTAATTAATCTGTTTTCCATTATATTTCTAAGAAAAAAAATCACCCCACTTATATTATTTCAGTTCTGATATATTAATAAAAAATTTTAAAGTAACAACTTTTGATCAGTAACAACTTTTGATCACCTATTCTCTCTAATCTACAAACAGCTCAACCACTTTTTAAACATATCTTAAAAGTGTCAATTCATTGAGGAAATGGGCATCTGTTTGTAATGAAATGAATTCATTTTTTCTGCATTTTGCTTGAACTTTTAAATATTTGTCAGTTTTTTAAGTAATTTGAATCACTGTCTTCCATTCATTGCACCATCTCCATTTCTGGCCTCCAAGTCAAGCCACGTCAGTGTAAGAGAAATTTTTACAAGAAAACATGAAGAACTCAGTTCTGTGAAAAATCATTTCCCTTTCTTTTTTTTATTGGTCCTCTCTGCACTTTCTGATCTTGCCCTTTCTTTTTCTGAGCGCACCCTTTCTTCTTCTTCCATAACTAGTCGCTTTTCTTCCAATCTGCTGGCAGCACGTGGTGACTTGGAGTGTAGTTTCAGGAAAATGTCACGAAATTTGTTGTCAGGGAACAAAGTTTCCATCATTCCTTCCATTATGACATAAAGCAGACGACGGTTCAGAGCTTTGTACTGAAACATCTCAAACACGCGGAAAACCCCTTTTCTGGTGGTTTCACTGCCCACTGGGTGGCGTACTTCTTCTGAAATAGTAACCGAGTTCTCAAGAGTGAAACTTCTGAGACATGACTTGATATTAATATACAGGGTGGTCCATAAAAAGTGACCTACTTTACCTTAAAGGTTTCCAATTTCTGCAGAATTTGTAAGGATAAAATGGTCATCCTTATGGAACAGCTCGGTGAAAGAAAGTTGGAAATATCTTAATTATACCAAATTTGAGATGGAAAGTAAAATTTGTCAATTTAAAAAAAATTTACCATGAAAGCTATAATATAAGTACATGTGGTTAAAAATTACGAGACTTGCAAATGTGGGGTGTTGCATTCCATGCATACATTCTTTCCCAAACCAGGACAATGCACCATGTTCAGGCCCGTAGCCAGGGGGGTTCGGGGGGTTCGAAAGAACCGCCCCTTTTGTCAGGAAAAGGTCCATTTTAGGTAAAATTTTATCTAGATACACATAAGTTTTATTGTAAAAGGTCCACTTTTTCAGAATAAGAACCCCCCTTTTGAATTTGCTGGCTACGGGCCTGATGTTCGCAAACATTGCTACATAGTAGGTTTATGGTCTGCTATGAAATGCATTTGTCGACAGTAGATAAGCTCTGATATAGCATAAGTAAAAAAGGAAAAATATAACACTCTATCTCATGAAATTTAATTCCATCCACAGGTCATCCCTATAAACACTTGAATTTCTGTAAAATCCAATGTCCACTACCAAAATATCCCTTTTTTTTTTGGAACATGTCACAACTAATAATTTGTATTATTAAGTGCGATTTACTTAAAATGTTTGACGTAAAATGAATAAGGTAAAATGAATTTGAAAAACACTTTTTTAACACGGAATGTCCCTGCTTGGATGTGTTAAACCATAGAATTAGATAAGGCTTTAATGTGCATTATAATTACTGGTACAAATCAAGCACTGAGGATTACCAGAAGCATTCATTTGAACAAAACTTTGAAGAATTTACGTAAAGAGGAATTTAATGGGTCACTACCTGAGATTTTCCTTGGAAAACGAATTTCCTGGGGTAAAGAGCAATTTATCCTAACTCAGGAGTTTTAAGTACTTGACCCTTCCTCGTACTCAATATTTCAATCCATTTTGCATAGTTTAGTTGAAATTGCCTAGCCAAAAGTGAGTCAACCACATTGCCTCATTTTTCACACAAAACACGGCGGGGTGTTTTGTACTGCAGCTCTGTGCCCCGTATAATACAGACATTCCAAGCTGATAAAGGCTACCCAAGGAGACTGAGAAATGAAAACGTTAAACACGGGCATTTTGTGCGTTTGCGTCGAATAGAACTACCTGTGTTCACCATGCACATATGCATGTACAAACAGATTTGCCCCCTAAGGGTTTCTTCAAATCCCTGATTTCATAATTATCATTGTTTCAAATATGTTAATTTCACACTCTTCAAGTATCACACTAATTAGATCCTACTGCCAAGATCTTGCTGGCTTTCATACACCCTGAGGACCATGCGGAAGATAGAGGGGCAAGGGGGAATAAATCGTTAATTTTCAATGTTTCTGCCATCAATAAATAAAATATGATAAATTAAATAAATTCATATCGGTAAACGACGTTTCACTTGCTCCATCTGTATATTCGGATATGATCCTATGGTTACGAGAGTAGTAGTCAATCTTTACCAGTAGGGTAGCCCTTATGTGGCCATTCTTGGATTCTATGACTGCAATGCAAATACACGTCTATACATTAATTTAGTATAATGCTATACTGCCAAAGGTAATAAAAAACTTTATATCCTCATTATTTCCTTAATACTTCAAAATCGGTCTTTAATTGATTAACAAAGACCTCAAAAAAGATTCAGCTTCTCAGATTGGATTCGAAAAATTATTCTCTCTTTTCTTTTGAAAATAGCTGCGGTTAATTAGAATTACATGCCTCAACACTGTTGATTAGGTTACTGAGTAATCAATTAGCACCTCTAACAAAACAGTGCTACTTAAAAAGGAGTTCCAACGAGCAGCTGCAGCATACAGTTTCAGAAATCAGCACTACCTAAGACTTCCGAAGAGTAAATATTGTCAACGTTCGATTGCCGGTCTTGCACAAGAAACCAAGGCTTGAGATGGAAGGAGTTAGCTCACTTGGCGCAAACCATCGTAGTCAAATGGAAATCATCAAAGATACCGACCATGCCGCAGACGAAGTCGAACAGAGCAATGGCCAAGAGAAATGTGCCCGTATCATGAGTCTTTTATATCGTATCTCCGAAATAGGCACGAGCATCGCTCATCTTGACGAAGCCGTAGCTGCGATCAAACTACTTCACGGCGAAATAGAAGAAAGCGCATTTGGTGTTGGGGAGCTGAGAGCCAAACTTTTTGACAGCAATGCAGATATATTGGCTATTGCCAGGTTTGTAATGAACAGATTGTACCAGGTAGAAAGCTCTGGGTTCGACCAGCAGAGGAAGCTGCCGAGCCACGCAGTGGAGCAGCGCATATTTACGGCCCAAGTTCAGGCAGTGCGTCGCCATCTTCACGAAACGATCACCGATTTCTACCGCTCATACCAGACCCACGAGTTTAACTACAAAAAGCGCCTGGAACGTCAACTTGATATACAAGCCAGCAGCAGGCATCCATCCGACAAAATTCAAGATTTTCTTTTTGCAGAACCTGACAAAACTTTCACCAGCGATATTCGCACGGGCGTTGAGGGCGGCAACCCAGAGACGTATATCGAAGCAGTGAACAACCAACTGGCGGACATTGAACAACTCTTTAAAGACTCCCACAGACACGCAGATGGCGTAAGTGACGTCTCAGACATAATTGAGCGCCACGTCGCGGAGGCAGATATTGTCGTTTTTAAACCAGCTATAACATATAAGAAGAAAATCCATCCTTTGCTGCGTTGCGTGTTAGCGCCAGTTTTCGCCATCAAAAGAAGTCGGAGAAAGCGTTTGTATGCAACAAGATGAAATTGTAAATTAGATACATATGTTAGTGACTGTTCGCTGCATGTAGACCTACCTACCGTAGCAGAAAATTAAGCTGATTAAACAAAAATATACATATATGCCATAAACATTCAGTAAACAGTTACCTGGAATGAAAATCACACACTGTACCTCAAGGAATGGTATCAATCACTAACTTTTATAAGGAAGACCAGCGCGTTTAACGCCCCATGCACTTAGTATTTAAAGCTCAGATAACGTTTCGTTCGCAAGATTTGTATTCTGTCATTCTTTTACGCGATATAATCGTACAGTTAGCCACCATTACAGTCATCTTGCCTAACATCATTAAAGTTGTGCATATATTTTTGATAAGAAATAAATTGTAGATTATTCAATAGCGTGGTCATTCTTGTGTTCGTTTTCTTTTTCTTTCTTTCCTTCTTTTCTCTCTCTCTCTCTCTTTTGGGTGGTTGGGGTGGGTAGCGCGCGGCGGTGGTATACCAGAAATGTGTTTGTGTCACCCAATCAGCCGAAAGTGTCACAGTTTCAGTCGGTCCTTAAACCTTAATTTAATTGTAACTTACACGGTGCATGTCCTGAACACAATTAAAGAGATGCTACACACAGTACCATGATAAACCGTAAGTGGTGACTAATTATTTACTGAAAACTGCAATAATGATTTTTACAATAACAGGAAATACCCACGTTTTTCTGTCACCTTGATCGGTTAATGGCCCTTAATACAACAACAAATGATTAAAGAATTTAAGAAAATATAAAAAAATATTTTGATCGCTGTTTTTCGCATTATGATAAACTAATATGGTATTATAACATCCTTATCCGTTATATGCTAATTCACTTTTACTCAAACGTATATAGATTATTTGTTGTCTGATAACTCTCAACAAAAAACAAACTACCAAACTTTTTATAAATTGCAATATACCTGAGTAAAGAGACTCCAATACAACACGGTGCATTTCTCCATGAGCTTTTTCCATCTCCATCTCTTTTCCATCTTATACCGATGTGCTCATTCATGTCCAGTCGATGTTGATTACAAATTCATGTTGAACATCATATTTATAACAGCTTTTATCCCAACAATAAAGAATTTTAATTTTAAAAAGTTTTTTTTCTTCCCGCTTGCATTTTTTGGGAACTATCCATATAGCTGCATTTTTCTTTGTAACTGCCCAATGTTCACTCGTTTCTGCATTAGCTGGAGAGGACAATGCTTTCCCGTCTCTGTTACGTATTATTGTGGTATTCATTGAGCAAAAATCTTCTAAAATCGTCTGTTTACTCATACGATGCACAAGACCAAATGAGTTGAAATCAGTGCTGTAAAATGATTGTTACTAATTGTAGCTGCACTCAGTCAAAAAGGGAAGTCTCCTTTACTGGTTGAATTTATTGAATTCAAACGTAAAACTGAAAGAAAAAATAAAACAAAATAAATAACAAAACAAAAAATGTAGCGATAAGTAAAGAAATATTGATAACAAATTAAAATACAAAATAACCTAAAAATTGATAACAAATTTACACGAAGTTCATACGAAAGTGTAAGAAAAAGGATAGACGGAAACGTTGCAAAGACCCAAAGCCGGAGAAGTTTACGTTATTTTAGCGTTGAAATAATTTGCCTTATCCCCGACCAAGTGTGCTAATATCGATATAAAAGGATAGATAGAAACGTTGAAATACCCAAAGCCAGAGAAGTTTACGTTATCATTGAAATAATTACCTTTTCCTCTGACTGGGTGTGCTAAAATGGTGTCGTTAGAGTACCCTTATCGTTCTGTGTAAGAAATTGAAGTGAGCAAAAAGAAATAGGGAGGCCTTATATACGCTGTGAAATGAAAACTGTTCAGTGCAGGGTGTGGTACAGGCATGTGACTGTGCGGTTAGGTAAGTGCGGTGGCCTGTAACGTTATAATTAGTAGAGCGAGAGAGAGAGAGAGAAAAAGAGAAAACAGAGAAAACAGAGAAAGAACGGAAAATGTACTTCGCATAAGTAAACACAGAAACTCAAATAAAAATAAATAAATAAGAATATCGCGGGCAGTTACACTAATGCGAGAAGCAAGAACTAAATTGTCATTTTAAAATCAAATTTTATTCCATCTACCAGAAGGTTTAATTGCACAGTGCCCAATTATGTTCATTTTCATCTTTAACATCATGTATTTGTTCCCATATCAGTCACCATCCACAGCTTGAAATTTCATCAGCAAATGATGACAAACAATTTTATCGAATTGAGTCTATCCAAATTCTATTCAAAATTAAAATTTCAGAAATATATGTGTCACTTTTTTTCAGAAAGCATGTGCTTTTTAGTTCAAGGAATGATTCATTTGTTGAGATATAAGATAAGCTTTATATAATTACAAAAAGCAACCATGGAAGAGGAAAAATTGAGGCCGACTATAACTGTTCTCCTGTTATTTGACACCATCTCAAAGACATTCATTGGGATCTTAATTCTGAATACACCTCATTACAACAGGCTTAAAAACTGTCAAATAGTCAATAATAAATATTCAGAAAATGTAAATAGCACAGGGCTTCAGACCCCTGGGAGTTTTTAGTCATTTGGCAAATGCCTAAATGTGAAAAATGAAACTTTCATAAGAAAAAAAACTGCTTTACTTCAAGAAAAAATCCAGTCTTGCTGATTCACAAACCCGAGCTTTAAGTCCTTTGAATAATTCCTTCAAGTTTTAAAAACAATAAGTGAGACAATCTTTAAATCATGTTTATAATGACAGTGTTACAAGAACAATGCACACCTTAGAAGTCACATCCGTAATATGATATTTTGTGAAAAATGAAAAATTGACAATAAAAAAGCATGACTTCAAGAAAAGGAATATAACCCAAAAAACCTTTAACGCATTCCTACATAAATAATTGATGTAAGTTTATGCATTAACTGAAAGCTTTTCCACTTATGATAATTATGAGAAAAATATCAGGAAAATATACAGTGACACCAGGGGCAAGGACTAAAGTGATTACATATGCAGTCACATTGAAACAAAATTTCTGTCTATAAAAAACAGGAAATTCTGTCTTGCCTGAAATCCCTGAAATCCTACCGTGTTTTATCACAATCTTAATAAAGGTAATCTTTACATCCTATATAAATTTCCACTAACCAATTTTTCTGGGAAATGGTTCCTCTGTGACACTTCCGCTACTCTTTCAGAGATATCCTCTCTGCTCATAACAAACATCCAAATTTGCTTTCAGTTTCTCTTTCTGCAGTTAGATCTAATCAATCTGGATTCCATAACATTTCCCAGTAAAAATTTCTCCTGAATTATTCTCCTTGAATTATTGCAGTTATGATATATTTATATAAAAAAACTCAAATAAAAGTAACATCTCTTGATCACTGAGGCCCTTTTCTCTCTAATCTACAAACAGCTCTATTTTAAAATCTTGCTGATTCATAAATCTGAGCTATAAGTCCTGTGAATTATTCCTTCAAGTTTTAAAATCAATAAGTGAGACAATCTTTAAATCATGTTTATAATGACAATGTTACAAGAGCAGTTAATGCACATCCAAACTCACATCTGTAAAATGACATTTTGTGAAATGAAAAATTGACAATAAAAAAAGCCAGACTTAAAAAAAAAAAGGAATATGACCCAAAAACTTTCAATGTATTCCTACATAAATAATTGATGTAAGTTTATGCATTAACTGATAGCTTTTCCACTTATGAGAAAAATATCCAGAAAATGTACAGTGACAACACGGGCAAAAAGGTGATTGCAGATATATTCACATAAAAGCATAATAAGGGTCCAGAGAAACAGGAAATTCTGTCTCACCTGAAATCCATTTATACTCAGTTTTATCACATTCTTATTAAAGGTTAAACCTGTCCATAGAAACAGGAAATTCTGTCTCATCTGAAATCTGTTTATACTCTGTTCTATCATGTTCTTATTAAAGGTAATATTCGTCCATAGAAACAGGAAATTCTGTCTCACCTGAAATATGTTAACTTTATACTCTGTTTTATCCCATTCTTATTAAAGGTGACATCCGTCCATAGAAACAGGAAATTCTGTCTCACCTAAAATACGTAAACTTAATACTCTGTTTTATCCCGTTCTTATTAAAGGTAATTTTTACATCCTAGTACTCATAAGTTTACACTGACCAATTTTTCTGGGAAGTCCTCCCCCTGTCTCCAACTCTGTGATACTTCCGCCACTCTTTCAGAGATTTCCTCTTTGCTCATAACAAACATCCAAATTTGTTTTTGATTTCTCTTACTGCAGTTGGATCTAATCAGTCTGTTTTCCATTCTATTTCCAAGAAAAAAAATTTCACGTGACTTGAATTATTTCAGTTCCGATATATCAATACCAAAAAACTCAAAGTAACAACTTTTGATAACTGAGGCCCTATTCACTCTAATCTACAAACAGTGCAACCACTTTCTAAACTAATTTCTTTTTAGTGTCAATTCATTGAGGAAATGGGCATCTGTTTGAAATTAAATGAGCTCATTTTTTCTGCATGTAGCTTGAAAAATTGTCAGTTTTTTAAGTAATTTGAATCACTGTCTTCCATTCATTGCATCATCTCCATTTCTGGCCCCCAAGTCAAGCCACATCAGTGTAAGAGAATTTTTTTCAAGAAAACATGAACATCTCAGTTCTGTGAAAAATCATTTTCCCTTCTTTTTCTTATTGGTCCTCTCAGCGCTTTCTGATCTAGCCCTTTCTTTTTCTGAGCGCACCCTTTCTTCTTCTTCCATAACTAGTCGCTTTTCTTCCAGTCTGCTGGCAGCACGTGGTGACTTGGAGTGTATTTTCAGGAAAATGTCACGAAATTTGTTGTCAGGGAACAAAGTTTCCATCATTCCTTCCATTATGACATAAAGCAGGCGACGGTTCAGAGCTTTGTACTGAAACATCTCAAACACGCGGAAAACCCCTTTTCTGGTAGTTTCACTTCCCACTAGGTGGCGTACTTCATCTGAAATAGTAACCCAGTTCTCATGAGTGAACATGAAACTTCTGAGACATGACATGATATTAATATACAGGGTGGTCCAAAAAAATGACCTATTTTACCTTAAAGGTTTCCAATTTCTGCAGAATTTGTAAGGATAAAATGGTCATCCTCATGGAACAACTTGGTGAAAGAAAGTTGGAAAAATCTTAATAACATCAAAATTGAGATGGAAAGTAAAAATTGCTAACCAAGCTAACTGATTACCAAATGGTTTTCCTTAAGCACTTTTCCAGTAAAATTAAGCATTAACCCATATTTGGCTTGATGTAAATTTTTTCACATCAAATCTGTGCTTTTGCATAAAATATGAAATTAATAAAAAGAAGTAATTGGTATTGATACTGCAGAAACTGGAAAGAAAAAAATTATAACACTCTCTCTCTTTCTGTAAAATCCACTGTCCACTACCAAAATCCCTTCCTTTTTTGGTAAACAAATCCCATCAATCTAACAAACATTTTTATTTTACTATTCCAGCAAATAATTTTATTTCATTTTTAAGACCATTCCTTTAAAATAGTTAATTTAAATCTGAACCACCTGCCAATAATGAGATCTTTATTTTAGTCAAACCCACCTGCCACTCCGCCTAACATCTTTGTTTTAGTAATAACCCTGGTCCTCATCATGGTATTAAGATCTCTTTCCGGTCTTGGTTCAGCTAAAATGCCACCGGGCCAGAAGGAATCCCTGGATATACAAAATTTGTCACACCTAATAATTTGTATTATTAAATGTGACTAACTTAAAATGTTTGACGTAAAATGAATGAGGTAATATGAATTAACACTATTCTGATACGAAATGTCCCTGCTTGGATGTGTTAAACCAAGGAATTAGATGAGGATTTAAGGTGCATTACAACAANTAAAAAAAAGGAATATGACCCAAAAACTTTCAATGCATTCCTACATAAATAATTGATGTAAGTTTATGCATTAACTGATAGCTTTTCCACTTATGAGAAAAATATCCAGAAAATGTACAGTGACAACACGGGCAAAAAGGTGATTGCAGATATATTCACATAAAAGCATAATAAGGGTCCAGAGAAACAGGAAATTCTGTCTCACCTGAAATCCATTTATACTCAGTTTTATCACATTCTTATTAAAGGTTAAACCTGTCCATAGAAACAGGAAATTCTGTCTCATCTGAAATCTGTTTATACTCTGTTCTATCACGTTCTTATTAAAGGTAATATCCGTCCATAGAAACAGGAAATTCTGTCTCACCTAAAATACGTAAACTTAATACTCTGTTTTATCCCGTTCTTATTAAAGGTAATTTTTACATCCTAGTACTCATAAGTTTACACTGACCAATTTTTCTGGGAAGTCCTCCCCCTGTCTCTAACTCTGTGATACTTCCACCACTCTTTCAGAGATTTCCTCTTTGCTCATGACAAATATGCAAATTTGTTTTCGGTTTCTCTTGCTGCAGTTGTATGTAATAAATCTGTTTTCCATTATATTTCCAAGAAAAAAATTTCACCTGACTTGAATTATTTCAGTTCTGATATATTAATAAAAAAATTCAAATTAAAGTAACAACTTTTGATCAATGAGGCCCTAAATCTCTCTAATCTACAAACAGCTCAACCACTTTTTAAACTTACTTTTTAAGTGTCAATTCATTGAGGAAATGGACATCTGTTTGAAATGAAATGAACTCATTTTTTTTCTGCATTTTGCTTGACAGTTTGTTAAGTAATTTGAATCACTATCTTCCATTCATTGCACCATCTCCATTTCTGGGCCCCCAAGTCAAGCCACGTCAGTGTAGGAGAAATTTTTCAAGAAAACATGATGATCTTTAAACATGAACAATCTCAGATCTTGGAAAAATCATTTTCCTTTCTTTTTCTTATTGGTTCTCTCAGCACTTTCTGATCTTGCCCTTTCTTTTTCTGATCGCACTCTTTCTTCTTCTTCCATAACTAGTCGCTTTTCTTCCAATCTGCTGGCAGCGCGTGGTGACTTGGAGTGTATTTTCAGGAAAATGTCACGAAATTTGTTGTCAGGGAACAAAGTTTCCATCATTCCTTCCATTATGACATAAAGCAGACGACGGTTCAGAGCTTTGTACTGAAACATCTCAAACACGCGGAAAACCCCTTTTCTGGTGGTTTCACTTCCCACTAGGTGGCGTACTTCATCTGAAATAGTAACCGAGTTCTCAAGAGTGAAACGTCTGAGACATGACATGATATTAATATACAGGGTGGTCCATAAAAATGACCTACTTTACTTTAAAGGTTTCCAATTTCTGCAGAATTTGTAAGGATAAAATGGTCATCCTTATGGAACAGCTCGGTGAAAGAAAGTTGGAAATATCTTAATTATACCAAATTTGAGATGGAAAGTAAAATTTGTCAATTAAAAAAAATTTACCATGAAAGCTATAATATAAGTACATGTGGTTAAAAATTACGAGACTTGCAAATGTGTGGTGTTGCATTCCATGCATACATTCTTTCCCAAACCAGGACAATGCACCATGTTCAGGCCCGTAGCCAGGGGGGTTCGGGGGGTTCGAAAGAACCGCCCCTTTTGTCAGGAAAAGGTCCATTTTAGGTAAAATTTTATCTAGATACACATAAGTTTTATTGTAAAAGGTCCACTTTTTCAGAATAAGAACCCCCCTTTTGAATTTGCTGGCTACGGGCCTGATGTTTGCAAACATTGCTACATAGTAGGTTTATGGTCTGCTATGAAATGCATTTGGTGACAGTAGATAAGCTCTGATATAGCATTAGTAAAAAAGGAAAAATATAACACTCTATCTCATGAAATTCAATTCCATCCACAGGTCATCCCTATAAACACTTGACTTTCTGTAAAATCCAATGTCCACTACCAAAATATCCCTTTTGTTTGGAACATGTCACAACTAATAATTTGTATTATTAAGTGCGATTTACTTAAAATATTTGACGTAAAATGAATAAGGTAAAATGAATTTGAAAAACACTTTTTTTAATACGGAATGTCCCTGCTTGGATGTGTTAAACCATAGAATTAGATGAGGCTTTAATGTGCATTACAATTACTGGTACAAATCAAGCACTGAGGATTACCAGAAGCATTCATTTGAACAAAACTTTGAAGAATTTACGTAAAGAGGAATTTAATGGGTCACTACCTGGGATTTTCCTTGGAAAACGAATTTCCTGGGGTAAAGAGCAATTTATCCTAAATCAGGAGTTTTTAGTACTTGACCCTTCCTCGTACTCAATATTTCATTCCATTTTGAATAGTTTAGTTAAAATTGCCTAGCCAAAAGTGAGTTAACCACATTGCCTCATTTTTCACACAAAACACGGCGGGGTGTTTTGTACTGCACCTCTGTGCCCCGTATAATACAGACATTCCAAGCTGATAAAGGCTACCCAAGGAGACTGAGAAATGAAAACGTTAAACACGGGTATTTTGTACGTTTGCGTCGAATAGAACTACCTGTGTTCACCATGCACATATGCATGTACAAACAGATTTGCCCCCTAAGGGTTTCTTCAAATCCCTGATTTCATAATTATCATTGTTTCAAATATGTTAATTTCACACTCTTCAAGTATCACACTAATTAGATCCTACTGCCAAGATCTTGCTGGCTTTCATACACCCTGAGGACCATGCGGAAGATAGAGGGGCAAGGGGGAATAAATCGTTAATTTTCAATGTTTCTGCCATCAATAAATAAAATATGATAAATTAAATAAATTCATATCGGTAAACGACGTTTCACTTGCTCCATCTGTATATTCGGATATGATCCTATGGTTACGAGAGTAGTAGTCAATCTTTACCAGTAGGGTAGCCCTTATGTGGCCATTCTTGGATTCTATGACTGCAATTCAATTGCACGTCTATACATTAATTTAGGATAATGCTATACTGCCATCAGTAATAAAAAACTTTATATCCTCGTTATTTCCTTAATACTTCAAAATCGGTCTTTAATTGATTAACAAAGACCTCAAAAAAGATTCAGCTTCTGAGATTGGATTCGAAAAATTATTCTCTCTTTTCTTTTGAAAATAGCTGCGGTTAATTAGAATTACATGCCTCAACACTGTTGATTAGGTTACTGAGTAATCAATTAGCACCTCTAACAAAACAGTGCTACTTAAAAAGGAGTTCCAACGAGCAGCTGCAGCATACAGTTTCAGAAATCAGCACTACCTAAGACTTCCGAAGAGTAAATATTGTCAACGTTCGATTGCCGGTCTTGCACAAGAAACCAAGGCTTGAGATGGAAGGAGTTAGCTCACTTGGCGCAAACCATCGTTGTCAAATGGAAATCATCAAAGATACCGACCATGCCGCAGACGAAGTCGAACAGAGCAATGGCCAAGAGAAATGTGCCCGTATCATGAGTCTTTTATATCGTATCTCAGAAATAGGCACGAGCATCGCTCATCTTGACGAAGCCGTAGCTGCGATCAAACTACTTCACGGCGAAATAGAAGAAAGCGCATTTGGTGTTGGGGAGCTGAGAGCCAAACTTTTTGACAGCAATGCAGATATATTGGCTATTGCCAGGTTTGTAATGAACAGATTGTACCAGGTAGAAAGCTCTGGGTTCGACCAGCAGAGGAAGCTGCCGAGCCACGCAGTGGAGCAGCGCATATTTACGGCCCAAGTTCAGGCAGTGCGTCGCCATCTTCACGAAACGATCACCGATTTCTACCGCTCATACCAGACCCACGAGTTTAACTACAAAAAGCGCCTGGAACGTCAACTAGATATACAAACCAGCAGGCATCCATCCGACAAAATTCAAGATTTTCTCTTTGCAGAACCTGACAAAACTTTCACCAGCGATATTCGCACGGGCGTTGAGGGCGGCAACCCAGAGATGTATATCGAAGCAGTGAACAACCAACTGGCGGACATTGAACAACTCTTCAAAGACTCGCACAGACAAGCGGCTGGCGTAAGTGACGTTTCAGATATAATTGAGCGCCACGTCGCGGAGGCTGATATTGTCGTTTTTAAACCAGCTATAACATATAAGAAGAAAATCCATCCTTTGCTGCGTTGCGTGTTAGCGCCCGTTTTCGCCATCAAAAGAAGTCGGAGAAAGCGTTTGTATGCAACAAGATGAAATTGTATATTAGACATTAGTGACTGTTTGCTGCATGTACCATTACCTACCGTAGCAGAACATTAAGCTGACTGAATGAAATTCAGATATATACCATTTACACTCAGTAGAAAGTTACCTGGAATGAAAATCACACACTGTACCTCAATGAATAGTATCAATCACTAACTTTTGTAATAGGGAGACCAGCGCGTTTAACGTCCGAGCACCGTGCACTAAGTATTTAAAGCTCAGATAACGTTTCGTTCGCAAGATTTGTATTCTGTCATTCTTTTACGCGATATAATCGTACATTTAGCCACCATTATAGTCATCTCACCTAACATCATTAAAGATGTACATATATTTTTGATAAAAAAAAATAAATTGTACATTATTCAATAGCGTGGTCATTCTTTTGTTCGTTATCTTCTTCATTCTTTCCCTCTCTCTCTCTCTCTCTTTTGGGTGGGTGGGTGGGGTGGGTAGCGCGTGGCGGAGGTATATTAGGGATGTGTTTGTGTCACTCAATCAGCCGAAAGTGTCAAAGTTTCAGTCGTTTTTAGAGCCCTGATTTAATTGTAATTTACATGGTGCATGTCCTGAACATAATTAAAGAGATGCTACACAAAGTACCTTAATAAACCTTAAGTGGTGACTAATTATTTACTGAAATGCACTCAAAACTGTATTAATGATTTTTACAATAACAGGAAATACCCACGCTTCTCTGTCACCTTGATCGGTTAATGGCCCTTAAAACAACAACAAACGACTAACGAATTTAAGAAAATATAAAATATATATACGCCATAGAAACCTATAAACTAATTTTGATCGCTGTTTTTCGCTTTTGATAAACTAATATGGTATTGTAACGTCCTTATCCGTTATATGCTAATTCCCTTTTACTCAAACGTATATAGATTATTTATCGTCTGATAACTCTCAACAAAAAACAAACTACCAAACTTTTTATAAATTGCAATGAATTGATATGCCTATGCCCGAGTAAAGAGAGTCCAATACAACATGGTGCATTTCTCCATGAGCTTTTTCCATCTTATACCGATGTGCTCATACATGTCCAATTGATGTTGATTACAAATTCATGTTGAACTTCATATTTATCCCAGCTTTTATCCGAACAATAAAGAATTTTAATTTTAAAAAGTTTTTATTTCTTCCCAATTGGATTTTTGGGAACTATCCATAAAGCTGCATTTTTCTTTGTAACTGCCCAATGTTCACCCGTTTCTGCATTAGCTGGAAAGGACAATGCTTTCTCGTCTCTGTTACGTATTATTGTGGTATTCATTGAGCAAAAATCTTCTAAAATCGTCTATTTACTCATACGATGCACAAGACCAACTGAGTAGATATCAGCGCTGTAATATGACTGTTACTAGCGCGAGAAGTAACAACTAAATTGTCATTTTGAAATCAAGTTTTATTTCCATCTACCAGAGTGTTTAATTGCACAGTGCCCAATCGCGTTCATTTTCACCCTTAACATGTCTTTTTTCCATATCAGTAGTCACCATCCACGGCTTGAAATTTCATCAAGTAATGACAGCAAACATTTGTATTGAATTAAAAAATTCAAAACTTTTGAATTCTATCCAAAAAAATTAGATATGCATGTTCCTTTATTTAACAAAGCATATGGTTTTTAGTTCAAGGAATGATTCACTTGTTGAGATATAAGATAAAGCTTTACATGACAAAAAGCGACCATGGAAAAGTAAAAATGGAGGCCGATTATAACTGTTCACCTGTTATTTGACACAATCTAAAGGACGTTTATTTGGGATTTTGATTTGGGTCATTCTGAATCAACCTCATTACGCAAGGCCTAAAAAAGAGATAATAAATCAAATGGTGACAGAAGAAAAACAAGTCAGAGGTGACTGTTCAAAGACAAATATTTCTCGTTTTCTTTTTCAAAATTACATGTTATGAATAATCACCACCTTTCACAAGAAAAAGAAAAACTGCTTTACTTCAAGAAAAAAAAATCCAATCTTGCTGATTCATAATCTCTAGCTATTAGTCATGTAAATCATTTTTTCAAGTTTAAAAAATAATAAGACAATTTTAAATCATGTTTATGATGACAGTGTTTCAAGAGCAATGCACACCCAAAGTCACATCTGTAAAATGACATTTTGTGAAAATGAATAATTGACAATAAAAAAGAAAGACTTCAAGAAAAGAAATATAACCCAAAAAACTTCAATGCATTCCTACATGAATAATTGATGTAAGTTTATGCATTAACTGATATGCTTTTCCACTTATGATGATTATGAGAAAAATATCCAGAAATATCCAAAAATGTAGTGACGCCAGGGGCACAAAGGTGATTACAGATGCAGTCACATAAAAACATAATAAGGGTCCAGAAAAAACAGGAAATTCTGTCTCATCTGAAATCCATTTATACTCCGTTTTATCACATTCTTATTAAAGGTTAAACCTGTCCATAAAAACAGGAAATTCTGTCTCATCTGAAATACGTTAACTTTATACTCTGTTTTATCCCATTCTTATTAAAGGTAATTTTTACATCCTAGTACTCATAAGTTTACACTGACCAATTTTTCTGGGAAGTCCTTCCCCTGTCTCCAACTCTGTGATACTTCCGCCACTCTTTCAGAGATTTCCTCTTTGCTCATAACAAACATCCAAATTTGTTTTCGATTTCTCTTACTGCAGTTGGATCTAATCAATCTGTTTTCCATTCTATTTCCAAGAAAAAATATTTCACGTGACTTGAATTATTTCAGTTCCCATATATCAATACCAAAAAACTCAAATTAAAGTAACAACTTTTGATAAATGAGGCCCTATTCACTCTAATCTACAAACAGTGCAACCACTTTCTAAACTAATTTCTTTTTAGTGTCAATTCATTGAGGAAATGGGCATCTGTTTGAAATTAAATGAGCTCATTTTTTCTGCATGTTGCTTGAACTTATAAAAAATTGTCAGTTTTTTAAGAAATTTGAATCACTGTCTTCCATTCATTGCATCATCTCCATTTCTGGCCCCCAAGTCAAGCCACATCAGTGTAAGAGAAATTTTTTCAAGAAAACATGAACATCTCAGTTCTGTGAAAAATCATTTTCCCTTCTTTTTCTTATTGGTCTTCTCTGCACTTTCTGATCTTGCCCTTTCTTTTTCTGAGCGCACCCTTTCTTCTTCTTCCATAACTAGTCGCTTTTCTTCCAGTCTGCTGGCAGCACGTGGTGACTTGGAGTGTATTTTCAGGAAAATGTCACGAAATTTGTTGTCAGGGAACAAAGTTTCCATCATTCCTTCCATTATGACATAAAGCAGACGACGGTTCAGAGCTTTGTACTGAAACATCTCAAACACGCGGAAAACCCCTTTTCTGGTGGTTTCACTTCCCACTAGGTGGCGTACTTCATCTGAAATAGTTACCCAGTTCTCATGAGTGAACATGAAACTTCTGAGACATGACATGATATTAAATATACAGGGCGGTCCATACAAAATGACCTACTTTACCTTAAAGGTTTCCAATTTCTGCAGAATTTGTAAGGATAAAATGGTCATCCTTATGGAACAACTTGGTGAAAGAAATCTTAATTACATCAAAATTGAGATGAAAAGTAAAAATTGCTAACCAAGCTAACTCATTACCAAATGGTTTTCCTTAAACACTTTTCCAGTAAAATTAAGCAATAACCCATATTTGGCTTGATGTAAACTTTTCACATCAAATCTGTGCCTTTGCATAAATTACTTAATTAATAAAAAGAAGTAATTGGTATTGATACTGCAGAAACTGGAAAGAAAAAAATATATAACACTCTCTCTCTTTCTGTAAAATCCACTGTCCACTACCAAAATCCCCTCCTTTTTTGGTACACAAATCCCATCAATCTAACAAACATTTTTATTTTACTATTCTAGCAAATAATTTTATTTCATTTTTAAGACCATTCCTTTAAAATACTTAATTTAAATCTGAACCACCTGCCAATAATCAGATTTTTATTTTAGTCACACCCACCTGCCACTCCGCCTAACATCTTTGTTTTAGTAATAACCCTGGTCCTCATCATGGTATTAAGATCTCTTTCCGGTCTTGGTTCAGCTAAAATGCCACCAGGCCAGAAGGAATCCCTGGATATACAAAATTTGTCACACCTAATAATTTGTATTATTAAATGTGACTAACTTAAAATGTTTGACGTAAAATGAATGAGGTAATATGAATTAACACTATTCTGATACGAAATGTCCCTGCTTGGATGTGTTAAACCAAGGAATTAGATGAGGATTTAAGGTGCATTACAATAACAAACCAATCCCTGAAGATTATCAGATGTGTTAATTTGCGGAAAACTTCCAAGAGTTTACATAAAGTGGAATTTAATGGGCCACTCCCTGGGATATTGCTTCTAAAATGAATTTTCTTGGGGTATAGAGCAATTTTCTCTTACTCAGGAATTTTATTGCTTGACCCATCCCTGTGCTTGGATTCAATGTTTTATTTCTTTTTTAATCTAATACTTTAGTTAAAATTGTGTGGCATAAGAAACAACATCTACCGTCAAGCACATTGCCTCAATTTTAAACAAAAAAGGTGGGGTGTTTTGTACTGCAGCTCTGTCAGAAATTTTTCATCTATGATCATGAAGTACAAACATTATCAGTAGATGACAAATGTGAAATTGACATTAGAGAGAATATTAAAAAAATTGAAGCATTATTTATCTAGGTTGTCCATTTTGTGAAAAATGTACTCATAGCTCTAATATACCTGTTATAATTGAATACATACCTGAATTGCTGCACATATTCTGCTACTTGCTCAGCTGAGGTCATAAGTTCTACATGGTCTAGAATTTTTCTAAATAATAATAATAACAATTATTATTATTATTATTATTATTATTATCCTGTGATAAATATCTTCAACAGAAGAAAAAAGTGAAAAATGTCCAAAATGGCTAAAACACCTTACAACTTAAAGAAATTTTTTTTATATATTAACTAAGCAATTTTTGCTCTGAGTCAAATGGAAAACAAAAAAATCAGAAACAGACAGACAAACAGATAGAGAGAGAGAAAAAGAGAGGGGGAATGAAACCTGTTAATGGAGTCCCCCATGGCCATTTTGATGATCTGTCTCAGCACTGCCACAATCCTGCGTCTCAGCCACTGATTTTTACTTTTCAGATCAAACACTTCATCCATCAAAAGCAGCATGATACGAAGTGGGATGTTGTCTGCCTCACCATCCTGAAACAAACAAGTCTATTTTAATGTCCAAATAAACAGAAGTCTAGTATGTCTACCAGCATTGGTCATGGTGATTTCTTTTGCCTAGTTGTAGCTTACACTATAACCATTATATTTACTGACCAATCTTGTGTCCCAGCATTTGATCTATTTAAAATAGCTTATCATACCATCTGCCTACACAGATTCTATAATATTATAATTAAGTAGCACTTTGAGGCAAGGTCGCATATAACACCGTCCACTACAGGGAACACAAGACACTGTAACATCTAACACATTGTCACATCAAACACACTGTCACATCTAACACATTGCCACACCTAAAACACTGTTACACCTAACACACTGTCACATCAAACACACTGTCACATCAAACACACTGTCACACCTAACATACTGTCACACCTAACACATTGTCACATCAAACACACTGTCACACCTAACATACTGTCACACCTAACACATTGTCACATCAAACACACTGTCACACCTAACACACTGTCATACTTTCACACCCTGTACAATATCACATGTAGCACACTATCCTATAACTACCAAACTGTTTGTAACACACTGGCATAACCACCCAACTGCCATGTTCAGTTCCTCCTTCTACATTGTACTCACTAATGTGTCTAACCCATCTAAATCCTCCAGTGAATCCCTCTTCTCTGTTGCTGGACCAACCTACCTCAATGAAAAAGACATTTTAAGTTGGGAGTTACATTGATTTTTTCATATCATTTTAAAAAGATACACCACAGAAGAGGTGGGAGTGGTTTGCTCCTGTTCACAAGTTCGCTACCAACTGTTTGAACAATTCAAATTTAATCTGTTTAATTGGCCATGTCAAACCTCCATTTAGGGATCTCCGTTTAGCCAACTCTCTTCTGTAATAGCCGAGCTATCTACTTGTTCAATCTTTCAAAGCGTACTAAGAAAACCTGCCAGTGGCTTATTAGGAAGTCACACCTCTTACTTCACACAGAACTTGTAATTAAAGCACACTCTTTACCATCAAATATTTATATAAAACTAGGAAACAGTTCATTTATTTTTTTTTTTGTTAATCTTTGATAACCTCACCCCTTTCAGTATTTTTCCAAAACCATCCACCAAGTCCTTGGGAAGCCCTCGTATACCGCCTGACATCTTGATCATCCCATCTACAAAGTTGTCTGGCACAGATTTCACTGCATTGCCCATCATCTTCAGTGGATTCACTATACTGTCCATCTTAAAACAAAAATGAAGGCATTGTTCAAAAATGATTATTTGACATCATAAGATTTTTATGTAGCTCTCATCCTCTGCATGGTAATATCTTAGACAAAAATATATTACTTTTACCTTTTGTCACGTTTCTTTTCCTTTTTTCCTTAAGTACAGTTTGCATTTAATGTAAGTTTTTAACTATCTCCCTCTCGTCCACCTGCCTTCACTCCCTATCTTGATTACTCCACCCCCTGCCCTTCTACTTTTGCCCCCTCCCTACCTCTCCTCTCCTCTCCCTCCACCTCCTAACCACCCTCCTCCCCATCCTCCCACTCTATCTCTACCCCCTCCCTACCTCTCCTCTCCTCTCCCTCCACTCTCTCACCACCCTCCTCCACCCCCA